TCTTTGCTCGAGCCGTCCCTATTTCTTTGGCATTGTCAGAAGACAAGACTCAGTTCCCGGGTGCTGAGGAAGAGGAACAGTGGTTTAGGGGCTTCCTAAAGTACTAGTGAACAATTTAGGCTTAAAATTTCCCTGTTTAAAATCTTTTAAAATACACAAATCAAACTCCATTCTGTGCTGTACACAGCCCTCCTGACTCCCTGACGTCGATTTGAGGAGAGCAGAGAAGGGGAGTCAGCGTTGGAAGGGCCGCCTCACTTCCTTCCGCCTCTCTGGCTTGGCTTCTCCCTTGGGTACTGTGCTGTTGGGCTTGGAGGCTTCAGTGGCCCCAGAGCCAGGCTGAGGAGCCCCAAAGAAGCTCCCCTTGGACATCTGGCCTGGGGGTACTTGAAAGATGCGGCTCCAGAAATCCTGAAGGTCAGCAGGAGGGGCATCTGAGGGGGCTCTCTGCCAACCACTGGTGCCTGGGATCCGGGAGCCAAGTGAGATGTGACAGGGAACTCTGTGGGTACCTGGAGAGATTCCCACATGTTGACACCCAGCCCACTCTGGGCTGATGTCGTAGGCCTTTCCATCCATCAGCGCAAAGTAAGTGATCTTGAGCCCCAACATGCTTGACTCTGCCCAAGTCTCCTTCCTCAGCAGGATGCAGCCTGTTACACTCAGCACAGTATCTGGCACTCTTAGGTTCCCGGTCCATTTCAAACCTCCTATGCTTTCCTTGGCATCGACTACACATCATAGTATTCATTGCTTCCTTGAGGCCATCTTGCAGCTTGGACAGAAACTCATTCACTGACCAGCTCAGCTCATTCTCTGCCATTCGTTTCATCTCATATTCTTTCCGCCTTTCAGGGTTGCTGACAATGTCCCATGCTGCCCTTAAAACCTTGAAGGCCTCCTCAGCCTGGGGATGATGATTTTTATCAGGATGAACCATCACTGCCAGCTACCTATAGGCCTTCTTTAGTTCAGTATCTGATGCAGTGGCTTCAACCCCCAGCACATGGAAAGGGTTTAGCTCATCCTCAGGAGCCCCAGCTATGGTCAAGAGTCAAGCCACTTCCTCTTCAGGCTGGCGGTACCACCCACTAGCTACAGGTGCATTCCCTTGGCTATTAGTCCTCTGCTTGAACCAGGGCAATTTCAGCCAACCCCGCTGAACTATTCTTACCAGCTGCTGCCATGGCCTACTATCTCTCAGCAGAGTGAAGCAACACTGCAAGGTGGGAGAATCCAGCCATGAAAACAGCCTGATGGCCTTATCACTCCAGCCTAACTGGTCACCCCGGCCCACCAGAAACTGCCAGCCCAACTGGAGACGGCCCAAAAGGAGGGCCAGACCCAGGAGCAGCAAAGCACCCATTAGCCTAAGAAAATGGGTGAACAGCCCTGCCCCATAGTAAAACCCCTGGTTTAGAAATTGGAACGCTACCAGGGCCCAGCCCCCTAGCCGTCCTGCCCAGGCTCCCACCCAAACTCGACAAAGTTCCAAATCACTGCCTTTCAGCTGCCTGCATGCACAGATGAGATGGCCACAAGTTTCCATGTACTCTCCCACCAACACCAGCAGTTCAATCAATGACTAGAAGCCTGCCTGTGCAAGCTGACATAGTTCTTCTGCTCCCCACAACCCCAGGCCTCTGCGCTTATCTGTCTGACTTTGTTTCTGGCCCAGCTGATGTGGGCCAGGGGCCCTAGGATCTCGGTGTCCACTCTCCCGATTATACTCCTTGGTCAGAAAACGGTGCCACTGTCTCCGGGATGGTGGTTTTTTTCCCGCTGGACACCCGTGAAAATTCACTTGGAAATTTAAGAGGTTCCTCATCGTCATATTCCTCTTCCAATTCTTCATCTTCCCCCAAGGTTGGAGACATACAATGGTGGCAAAAATTGCTAGAAGAGCCATCTCCCTCAGAGTAAGGCCCTTGTGGGATTCCAGGGGTTCCCTGGCAGTTACAAGCAGATGGAATGGAAAGAAAAGAAGGGTTCCCATCCTCATGGTACCCAGCCTCACTCTTTGAGAGTTCCTGGTCCCCTCCTGACTCTTCTGAAGATAACTCACTCTGATCAGGGTCCTCTCCTTCCCTAGGTGGTCCTGGACCCCTTGGGGAGCCATGGCTTGGATCCGACCAGTGGGCGGGATTTGGGGGCTGTTTGTACATAGGACCAGAGTGTTCCGTGAAGCAGTGGGTACCATTAGGAGCAGTCCCTGAGTCCTGAGAATGCAAATATTTCAGGATCCGCGGCGGGTCCTAAAGTCCTGAGGGAGGCACCACCACTGTGATGGGCTCCACACAACCCTCTTTCTCCCAGGTGCTTCGGGGGCTTCCGGAGGGTTTTAGGTCACAGCCCTCATGGTATGTTCTGGGGCCGAAGACCGTCGGTAACTCCTCCCCCTCGAGCAGCTGGGCCTTGGGGCCCGGGGGAACTATGAGAGCAGCTCCCCTGGCTCCGCCTCCCACTCCCGCTCAGTTCTGGGGATTTCTGACCGTGTGGATGGTGGAATTGGATGATGCAGAAGGTCAATAGAAATGAGGTAAGGAAATGATGGATTGTAGTATATTGCCTGTGTTTACATTTAAGTCACCTGTAAGAACAGCAGCACTTGGCATGATGACTAAACCAGGTGCTGAGGGTTTCAGTGATGGAAGAGCATCCCGATGGTAGCCAAGAGGAGGGGAGAAGGTGCCGCTAACCAGATCGTGTGCACCTGGGAGAAGCGGTTCGTATACAGGGATGGGGAATCGAGGGTTCCAAAGTGGCATAGGAGCAATGCAGGTAACCAGCTTCCCTGCCTTCATCCCGGAGAATTAGCGCCTCCACTCAGGGAGTAGCAAGAGTGACTTCACAGTTTTAGATAAGACCCTGATAAGGAAAGAAAATTCCTGTAAGAGATTCCAAATGCGAGAGAGTTCACCACCCTTGCATTAAGGCCATGTATAGTCCGTTAAAATAAAATAGACTAGCAAGGTACAGACCTTGGGCCAAGAACATTACCACCATCCAGGAGCCTGTAAGAAATACTGAGTCCCCAGTCCCCTCCAGATCTAGAGTCAGAAATTATGGTCATGGCCCAACAATCTGTTTTTGCAAGCTCTCCAGGTGAATCTGATGAATGTGACGGTGGAGAATCCCCCCAACTAGGTGAGATGCCATTGAACACAGATGGAAAGCAAGGGGACACAGAGGGTCCAGGTGCGCTGTTTCAGTGGATGGTGACACCATACACACATGCAGGGGTGCGGATTTGCACCATAACAGCCGAGGTCCTCAGCTGCACTGGCTCCCACCCACCCGTCAGCAGGCGCTTCTGTGCTTTCCTTCTCTTCTCCATGGGGTGATTCAAACCCCTCCAGTTCCTTGAAATTGTTTCATCCTCTCTGGCCACTCTGCAGGTGCTGTTCCTCCCTACTCCATTGAAAAATTCTCAATTTAGACTGGAAAAAGATCAGAACCGTAGGTCAGACTGAGGGGGTGAGGCCATGGTTTGCTGCTGTGTGAGGATGGGTGGACAGTGGGGTGGGTGGCATCCCCGGGATTTTGTTTTCCATCTTGTTGGCCAGAATGGCATAGGAGGCAGGTAGCACCATCATTAGGGTTTGGAGGTCTGGAAGAGAACACTCGTGGGTCGTCCAGGCGGACAAGGCTGGCAGTTGGCCAGGAAAACATGGGGAAGTTTGATGGAGGGAGAGCCCGTGTTGTTCTGGGAATCAATGAGCTGTCGGGGGTGGGGAGAAAAGGAAAGGAGGGAGGAGGGAGGGAGAGAATGGATATGTAGCAGAAAAGAACAAAAGCATGAGATAGAATGAAAGTCAGAGGCCTGGGGGTCATCATTGAATGGGTGAAGGAAGAAGAGCTAGGAAAGAACAAGCAACTGGAGTGTAGACATGTCAGAACTAAGACTGTTGGAAAGGGGGGATCTAGCGTCTGCATCCAGGGCTGATGTGAGGTTAGGGGACCTGAGCATTGAAATGCGCTTTGTGTGGGACTCGCAAACAACAGACGCTTGCGGGAGCCGGTGGGCTGTGCCCCTCCACTAGGTGGTTATTAGGTGAGCATTACGTACTGCATTCTAAGTCCACAGTGCAAAGAGCTTGGTGGGGAGGCAGGAGCAACGAGTGGAAGTTCATTTATCAAGGTGGGAAATTCTGAAAGGAAGCAAGTTTGGAGTGGAAGCTCAGTTAGGAAAAGTATGAGTTTAAAAATGTACAAGTTAAACTATGAGTTTTAAAAACCCACAGCTAAGTGTATACACTAAGCTCAATGTTGAGGCTGCGGTATTGGGTAAACAAGAGTAAAATTCTTTTTTCTTCGGTGATGGTGGGGATTGAACCCAAGGCCTTCTCACTGAGCTACATCCCTAGCCATTTTTTACATTTTATTTTGAGAAAGTCTTGCCGAGATGCTAAGTTGGCTGTGCAGGGTTTAAACTTGAGATCCTTGTGCCTCAGCCTCAAAGAGTGCTGGAGTTACAGGCATGTATCACTACACCTGGCAGAAGAGTCAAATAAATGTTGGTGAGCAGTATGTAAATCAAAGAAAACAGGACAACGTTTCCACGAACATCAGTAAAGCTTTATAACAATACAATTCATGATCATTGTTTGGATTAATACTGTAATAATTACACACTTTTTACATTATGAAAATAAATCATAAATAGTGTAAAAATAATTCTGAAGATCAACTTCTCACAACCTACGAACCCTGAAAACAAGTTTAAGAAGCAAATAAAAACAAATTAGAAACCGAACACAATGCAATTATTTCCAAACTGCAAATCAAAAAACTTCATGCGTCTTTTGATTCAGTAATGTCAGCCAAAGAAAGTACAATGAAACTGAAATAAGAAATCAAACAGGGAGAATTCAGTCTTTCAAATATGTACACTACTGAGATAATTGGGTGTGTGCCATATTTACATTGATAAGACACAACACATTCTCAGAATGATCAATTACATGAGACTGGCCCACAAAACATTTTAAAGAAAACTACTCTGTAATGCTTGCCATTTTTTTTTTTTTTTTTGAGTTTCCCACTTTGTGAGTTTGGCAACAAAAATAGCTGCACCTAAAGATGAACTTTAAAATGTGAAAAACACAAAAATATATTTCCTAAAGAAAAATCAGATACATCTTTCAAAAATGTTAAGTTGAATGAAACGTTTACAATATAAAGTATATTCACATAAATGTCAACAAATATGTAAGACATTCTTTTGTGAATCCAATTCATTAATATTTCTGAGATACGTGAGAGACTATCAAATGTATTTTGGGAACTGTTGGTACTTCCTTTATTGTCGATAAATCAAACATAACAAGTAAGATTGAAAAGGTCTTCCTATTTCCAAAAGAGCATTCTGTTAATAAGCAGCATAGGCAATTTATGCATTTAATGTATTTTTAATGAAAAAATACTGTACTAAGATTGGATTAGCAAAAAACTAAAATCAGTAAAAATTTAAGTTGGAGGAATATCTCTTCCAGCATGTAACAAATCTAGCCAATATGTGAAGAAAAATTGAAAGTAAAGACTGAAGATTTTTATGTCCTAAAACAATTTGGCAGAACTATAACTGATCAAACATGGAAATTCTATTAGGGCTGTGAGATTTTGTTTTTTAACAGCCAGCATACAATAGGTTCTTACTCTTTTTGGAAAGATAAGATTTCTTTGACCTTGACTTCCTAGAGATATCAAGTGTTTGCAAAGATTAGAAAATTAATTTTTTTGGTAGTGTTATATATTAAAATATTTTTATTTCTTGTTAATGTGTCAATATCAGCATCTGTGTTGCTTATGAATTCTAGGTAAGATGATACTGTATGTAGCGGGAGCAAAAGGATAAAAAATAACTTTTTATGCTTCAATAGTAAAATTTTAAAACTTAGAAATTAAGCACTTTTCCTAATCTCCAAAGGAGCAGATATATTCGCATACTGTAGACAAAGGACGCGCATATAAATCACTTTAAGAGTAAGTTCTTGCTGTCCCAGTAGAACATCATGTGCACACACTGTAAGTTCAAGAACAAGACTTTTCTACTCATAGAAATGACAGATATTCCATTGTTCTCTGCCAAATCACAAGAAAAGAAACCCTCCCCCCAGGACTGATTTTGATAGTGAAAACCGGAAGAGTAGTTTAGGTGTGTGACACACCAGGGACTCTATGTGGAGTGTGCAGACTTCTTGCACACAGTTTGTATTAATTTTAATCAAATTATGTAAGTTAAAAGACGAGATGAATAAAAGTTTATAAAGGCGGGCCAGGGATTTAGCTCAGCGGTTCCGCTGCCTGCTTCACAAGTGCAAGGTCCTGAGTTCGATCCCCAGTACCCCCCAAAAAAGTTTATAAAGGCATATGATGCATGAAATGAACAGGAACCAAGGGGATCCACCATCCAAGTAAAAACACATCATCCATAGGCACACTGTTTTACAGTAAGAAAGGCTGGTCATTGAACCATAACTACAGCAAATTCACGAACTTTAAAAATAAAATCACACACAAAAAGCTTAGGAATGCAATTAGAGAAATGAAATTATCCATAGTAAGTTGCATTATCGATAAAAGAAAAAAATGAAAGAAATAATATATTAGCACCAATCAATAGGAATGGAAAAAAATTTTAATGCTAAAACATACAACAGTTTGCATCCTTTAAAAATGTTTTATCAGAAGTAAAATTTGACCTTCATTTATTGTCACTATAGTTTCTCAGTTCTCTACCTTATAAATTAAAAGAAATCTTTAAGAAAAATGTTAATCTGCCAACACATTTATCAACTATAATTCATTATTACTTTGGACCTTATTTGAGGATTCTCCATATCAGTGACAAAATGGATGTTTGAAAATATTTTGATAACCTAAAGTTTAAGATTATCTATGCTGGCTAAGACCTAGCACTTCTGTTGAACAAAGAGGAGTTTCATCATTCCTTTGTTTTTCCCAAGGAAATAAATGTAATGGAAATTTAGGGCTTCCTTTAATCATTGAATAAACTGATGTTGTCAAGCTAGTTATAGGGCAAAATTCCAATATACCCACAGGATTGTATTCTTCAAAGGACTATGTACAAAAACATTTTTATATGTGAAATGCTTCTCTTTTGATGTAGAGGTATTCTCATTGGAGGCTTTACAAATTTTAATTTAATGATTCTTCTCTACTAAGGAATAGAAAGGAAGATAGAAGAAATATAGTCACCAGACTTTTTTCTCAAGACTTTATCATTGGTTTTTCTGAAGAGAACATAGTTCTACTCCAGTTTAATCTTTCCAAACCATTTAAGACAAATTGTTTCAGACATTAATACATTATCCTAAGCATGTCATACAAAAAATTGTTAGAAAATGCCCTCTCATTATTTTAAAAATGCTAAATTGTCTTAGGGCTGTGGAATGTTACTAGAATTACTACCAAGTAGGCAGATCTAATAGTTTAAACATCTCTCTAACCTTGAAAATGTCATAATTTTTTTTTTGTATAATTGAGCACTGGGTCACAAATCTTCATCTTGGAATTCTATCTTATCTGTTGTTACCATAAGCTAATGGTGAGCTGATTTCCTCACTGGGGGTGAAAATGAGAACATTTCCCACAACATGGTACAGAATCATTAGGGCCGTTACATTCTCGAATGGGCCAGTGGGGTGGCCTTTCTCATGAACATGTTTCTCCCCACGTAAACTTTCCACTTAGCCACTTCATACCCTGCCACCAACTCTTTCTGTGCAAATAAATTCTAGTCTAACATGGTTAGGTAATTTTTGAGCAAGTAGATGAAAAAATCCTACTCTTATGGCAACTATGTTTCACAGATTTCTGAGATCTCAGATTTGGTCTGTGGATAAGAGAAACACTTAGAAATGTAAAAAGAAATCCAAATGTAGAAAAACTTAAAAAAGCAATAATAAGAAATAGAATGAGTTAGTTATCAAAGGTGATAAAATCTTGGCTTTATATTAACCGATAATCTCTATGTATATTACATTCATCATGTAAAAAAGTAAAAAAGTACTAAAGCTGAACTTTCATGCTTTACAATGATTAAACTGAAATTGGAGCTTTTTTGTTCTCTCCAGTTATCTAAAACAAAGATGTTAGTAAAAAGTCATTTGACTGTTGGCACTGAATTAGTATGATTTTGAAGACCTTTAGGAAACTGTTCAAAGAAGATATGACAAAAACTGAAACAAATTTTCTAAATATTCCTCCGAGTAAAAGAAAAAAGTATCCGAAAAGAACGGAGAACCCTATCTTCGTTTCTCTCGAGAACGTGTAGGAAAGGCTGGCGATGGGTGGACCGGACGGAGGAAAAGATGCCACGGGACTGTGGCAGAGGCGTCCGGGAGCCCCTGGACTTTCAGGAGGGCGTGAGGCAGAGCTTCCTGGGGACGCGCGTCTTCAGTAATCGAGCTTTGATGGCACGTGCATACCCTCTGTCCTCAGGCCGGCATGGCCATCCCAAAGACTTCTGGTCCCAAAAGAGCCGCAGCCTCTGTCACTTCCAAAAGCACCCAGATGAACGCTCGCTGGGATCCAGTTTATTAAACAAGAAAGTCTGCTATTCTGGGTGTTCGCCTCTGTAAACCGCTTTCCTACGTGGTCACATGAGAGACGGTGCGGCATGCCTAGCCATTCTTCTTCTCGCGGCTTCACTGGCAAGGGCAGCCCAAGGAAAACTGGCAGCAGCCATCGGCTCAGCCCCTTGGCATTTCACCGAAGGCCATAACACCAGAAGCTGTAGATCTGCAACGCCCTCAAAATATCAGACCAACCGTGTGTGTGCTCTCCGCCAACTTATCTCTTTTTGGCAATAAGCCATGGTGTAACCCCCTTGAGACGACAAAAGGAATAAGCTCAGATGAGCCTGCAGGGGGTGGTCAGGCAGCATGCAACCATCTGGGTTTGCACAGCAAGCAGGTTGGGCGCACACGCATGCTTTCTTTAGTCAGATTCAGTGGTGCCAATGCTAGGAGGGAAGGTGAGTGGAGGTGACAACAGACAAATCAGTCGGAATAGTACACATTCGTAGCCTTGAGTCCATATTTGGTCACAATTTCATGTAAACGATTTCATGGAGCTTTTAGCCCATGCAATGCTCAAAGTAAGAAAATAGCAAGAACATTCACTGTCTATCACTGAAGTCCGTATAAATACATATCCTCATGTAAGGGACACTGGTCTATATTCTTTGCAGGCTTCTCACTGGTTCCCTAAATTGCCCAATTTCGGATGCAAGTGGAGAAATGATGCGTGTGTACTATAGCACACAGGAAGAAGCAGCTCTATGTAAACATAGCTCAGACTTGTAAAATCTGCAGTTCGGTTTTCAACTATAAATATAGAAAGTGGACCATAATATATACAACTTCATGCTTGGAAAGTTAATTCATCACTGCAGAAAACAGACAACAAAAAAGACAAATATACAGAATTAGTATGTAGTGTTGGACAATTCCAAATTAACATGAATTTTGAGAAAGTTGGTAGAACCTTCAATAGAGGCTTTTATCAATGAAGTAATGGAGCACTTGCTGTATGCATCATATCTTACTTTTTATTGAGATGAGGGCTTTGCTCAGTTGCCCGGGCTGGCCTCAGCCTCCTAGGTAGCTGGTGTGTACTACCTACCCCCAGCTCCATATCTTACTTTTCTGAATTCCTGGATGTCATGACAATTTTTATCCTAAGTTTAGCTGATTCTTTCTTTGCCACTAAGAATTTTGTAATAAGTGCTTGCTTCAGTAACTTTGCTGGGAAAGCAGAAAATTAGGATTTTTATCACATATAGAATGATACGTTTTATGGAAAACTGAGTATATAGAAGGGAGACTTCTGACTTCCTAACATAGTCAGTATCGCAGTGAGGCTTGCTGTCTCACCTGCTGCTGGCTCCACTGTCAAGCTCTTTCAAAGAGGAGGAGGCGGAAACCACAGCGCGCCTACACTCTGAGCACCGCCCAGAGGCCAGGTGGAGCCAGCCTTTCCCATCTCCCTGCAGGGAGGGTGCCGATCATGAGGCTGAAAGCACTGTCCTATCAGATGCCAAGTCAGAGGGCAGGTGGTGGTCAGGGCGCTGGGTGATATTATAGGTCCTGTGTCACCCCTCAGGGGTGAGAGGGTGGTTTTCCAGGTGAAGAAGGCTATGCGAGAGGGCCACATCCCGAGGGCCACTTGACCTCAGACATGATCCAGCTAATGTCTGCCAGGCTGAAAGTGGAGTGTGGGAAGCCACTAAATAAGTGATGCTGTGGGGAGAGCGGGTTTTGCTGCCCTGGGCCAAGTAGGGGAAACTAGTTAAGCAGGAGAATTGGACAGATTTCCTCACAGGTGGAGTAGCTGGCCTCCAGGGCAACCAAGAGTCTCTTGTTTCTGACACCCTCGTTTGTCACAGTTTTGCCAGTGAAGCACGCCTGTCCAGGATTACTGAGGGAGCGCTAAGATGCTGGAGAAGAATAATTCCAGTGACCAAAGAGCGTGTCCATGTCCTCTAGCTCCGTGCCCTCAGTGGGCTTGCTGTCCTTTGGGACGATGTGCCCAGCATGGGATCAGGCTCGTGCCATCCGCAGAAGACTTGGTGTCCTGGAGCACAGGACACATGCAAGTCTCTTCTCTGCTTCCCGTTCTGTCGTTGTCCTCCACTGCCCCCCACTGTGCCTCTGAGGTCCGAGACATACTTGCCCTGGCTCTCGGAAGCTCCTCTGCCTCCTTGAATTGCTACTTCCTGCCCAGGTTGGATGACATGCTAGATGACCGCTGTATGAAGGAGCTTACCACACAGCCTTTGCACAAGGAGGGTTTCCATACAGGACATGTCCTATCCTCACTGCGTGCGTACAGTGACTATGGGCGGCCACACGAAGAGGTCAAAATGAGCCAATGTCATAAAAGATGTGGATTTAGTCAGCTTCTCCTAGATCAGTCAGGACCACTGAAAAATTTATATTTTCTGCTTTCTCAGCTTTTTGACTCTATTGACAGAGTTATACCATGTATAAGTATGTTTGTCAAACCAATTGAATATGAATAGAAAAAGAATCACAATTAATTGTTTTAAACAGTAGGAAGACAAAGGGCTGACTGAGAGACAAGCAAACCATTAGCAAGATGTGCTGCCCTTTTCCATTGCACACAAAGGGTCAGACAGGTGGAGAAGTACAGTGCTTGCTAAGCGCCGTTTTTACTCATCAGTTTGGGAAGAAATCGACCGTCAATATATGCATCAGAAGATATCCTAGGGCTGGAACCTTTTGTTTTTTAGTACTGGAGCAGCTTTCAGGAATGTCAATTGCAAAAGGTCTGTTGTGAATGGAAAAGGCCAGGGCAGGAGGAAGAGAGAGGGGCTTTTTTTTAGAAATTAGTCCATACCCTACCTTCTGCCAGCAGCCGGGCATGGGTAATCCATCCGGACCCTGTTTCAAAGAGAGAAAAGAGATTCCTCAGACTCCTCAGGAGTGACACACTTCACAGCTCACAGCTCACAGGTTTAAGACATGGATTTTACTTGTAGGGCGGGTTTGGTCATAGCTATCTTTTACCTAATCAGCAACTCCTAATATATTGCCCAGTGTTAGGTAAATGAAAATAATTCAAATGTTTTCCAAAGTGAGTATACACTTTTGAACATACCTAAAGCACAGAAAAATCTACATGTAATTTTGAAAAAGCCATTTATAAAGCATAGCAATCTAGTGGTCTGTTCATAGCTAGATCTTTAGAAATCTGTACTCTCTTAATTTCATTAAAACATATTTCACAATTATCTTATTAAATAAACCAAAATAACTTTTATTCGTAGTCACGAAGGAGTGTGACTGAATTCATGGTAATGATCCTGAATGATAAACCATTTCTATCTGAAGTGTATAGCTCTTCACAACCAATATTTTTAATTTTCCTACATTGAAAGTAGATATTGCAAATATACTTAGCTGAAAGACAGGCAGCCTATTTTTACAGGACAGTGTTGGCCACAAATTCATCAATTTTTAAATTTAAGGTCTTCAGAAGTCAGCTAACATTCTGAACAAAACAGAGTTGCTAAGTGATACAAAATTTTAATTTAATATAAGCAGTCTTCAGATACAAATGATACAAATGAGAGGAAAAGTTGATATATTATGAAGGCATGCTTGTATTTCCCCCCAGTAGGGTGGTTATAAAATGATTTTTCACCAATATGGAGCAAACAAAGTAAGACTGGGACTTCCTATTGACATTTTCTAACTACTGCCAGAATAACATTTTTTTCTAAATACAATCTCTTGATAGGTTTGAGAAATATAGATTGACCTTTAAAGAATCATGCTTGTAATTGAAGAGCCATATAAGAACATGCAGATCAAATATAACATAACCATACAAAATTGTTTTATACTTTAGAAACTAAGAATATACTTTTTTTTAAATGTAAAAGACTCTGAAATAGCCTTATGTATTTGGGAAAAATTGGTAATGCCAGATTGGTACAAGGAGAAGGATCAACCAGTAGAATTTTAGATTTTAGTATGTATGAGGAGGATTTCGAGTTCATGCCAGTGGAGATAAGGGGGTGGTGTGTACTTAGGGAAAGTGAGTTTCAGAAGGGGACCATCAAATCGAAAAGGTTACGTGATGAAGAAGAGGGTTTGGGCTGCAGACGATTATCTGTGCACTTCAGGGAAGTTTGGTTTCCTTCTCTGTGGTCTCTTCATGGCATTCCCTTGAGCTGGTTAACTACTGATGACAGAAGCTTAATTCTGTAGGTTTGGCCTTATTTACTGCCCCATCAAAGTTTAGTGGAAAAAAATACGGGTATTCCTCTTAGAGAAAAAGAAAAAAAACAACTTGGGGATAAATGCAAAAGTTATGGGCTGCTGGTGCCTTTGCAACAGATTTTTGTGTACATTCAATGTCATCATTAAGTGTTTAGTAAACCTATTAATATTCCCAAGAGCACGGATGCATTAGTCATGTCAGTGGTGAGGACAACATCGGCACGAGTTCTTGTTCACAGACGGTGCGAGCCTGAGCCCGCTCATGCACATGCATGTCGTATGTTTAGCATGTAAAGCTTTGCCCGCGGAGAGCTACTTTACACTGACAATGCATACGGAGTCAACAAAGGAAGGGCATGCAGGGTGGTAGGAGAGAGAAATACTGTACCAATTGGCAAGGGGCATCCAGCCCGTCCAAGCCAGGCTGGCCTGGCTCCCCTTTTTCCCCCTTAACGCCACGGAATCCCTGTTTGTAAAGATTAACTCATAATGTTACTAATGCAAGAATTCACGTAGGTACAAGTTCTGCTAAAGAAACAACAAGCACAATGAAGGCTGGGAGAAGAGCAGCTCAGAAGGGAAGAGGCCTTGAGTGACACGGGGTCTAAGTAACAGCCAGGCCCAGTCTCCGAAGAAGGGCCGGTCTGGCAGCCATGGGCTTTGCTCTTGGAGGGTGGGGAGCCACTGGCTCCTCTGAGGTAGACCAGTCAGGCTCCAAGGACTCGGAAGCACTGGGAGTTAAAGCACGCTCAGCTGGTGCTGAGACACTGTCGGCCCAGGGGGATAACCAGAGCCAGGGGCTTCTGAGCACCTCCGGGTCCATGGCGACTGCCCCCACAGGAAACCCTGCTGTCGCTGTCCCCGGCTGCTCTTCTCCCGCCTCATCCCTGACACGCGACATCCAGAGACAGTACCACGAGTCAGACATACCAACGGGCAGGGCGCATCCAAGCCAGGGGCACCCTGTTCTCCTTTCTCCCCTTTGGGCCCCTTTTTGCCTTTCTTTCCCTTTTCCCCCTGTGGATGGATACAAGGGTTTAATAAAGGGTTTATTTGGGTGGGAGGAGGGTGGTGATTCAGGAGCTGGGTGAGCTAAAATAAGTCTGAAAGGGCATTTACCACTGTTTTTTTGGAGAAGGCATGGTATTGAGCAACAGTGGATTCCTGGCAGCAGGATGTGGGATTTTTGAGACTTTTAGCCAAAAGCAGATGACTTAAAAAAGGCTGACACATCACAAAGGCAGACCAATGGCCCTGCACAATTGTCGCCATCACTGAATCGTGGGTTTGTGCTATGGGTCTGGCGAGGTTGATGAGAACCGACGGTATCAGAACTAGCCAGTGGTGAGAGGGGTTCAGAGGAATAAGAGACACTTCACCCAATTTTCAACGTCTGTCACCTTGGTTTTTAAAAAAATTCTGTAACAGATGCAAATTATATTGAACCAAAGGAAAAGGAAAGCATATTACCAACTTTTCTTTGAAATGTATCCAGTCATATTACTTTTTGTACCTCTCATTAAAACTTCAAAGTATTAAATATGCTTTTAACATTTTTAAAAATTGAAAGCAAATATTTCCCTTATTAAGTCAGGTAAACAAATGCTGGAAGTGTGAATACTTTGCAGCAATGCCAGTTGGAGAAGGAGACATTTATAAACCTTCAGGTCCTCAGTTTACTCCCTCATTGATCTCATGCCTCAAGTTTACAATGGTAAATGAGCTTCCAGATTATACACAGTGTAAGAAGAGCCAAAAAGAAAAAAAAAATCTGTTCAAGAGGAAAAGCAGTTTGGACTCAGTAAAAATGAGGTGGGCGGGATAATTACATGGTAGGAATGGAGCCATAGAATTAGTATTTCGGAATCCAGGTGAAGGCTGTGGGAAGTCTGCGTGGATCACAGGGGTTGAGGAATTGAGGAAAGGAGGCAGAAGGAGGAGAAGGAAGGAATGCACCTCAGCTGTTTCACATTAACATAAAATCTCTGCATATTTATAGGCAGGAAGGGGGGCCATGCAGAATACAAAACACGAGATACATATTCAAATTAGTGTATTCACTCTGCAATCAGCATAGCAGCTACAATAAAACTGAATAATCTCTGAAGCAAAACAACATGAATATTCACAGGCAAAGAGACATGCAGCACAGAAACATAGGAGATATGAATTCAGATTAATACATTCATTCTGACAGCCTGAGCAAAAGCTCCCTGTTTATCTCCTGTGTGCCAGAAAGATTGCCTCAGAAGGCTGGAATCAAAAACACCTGGGTTTCATGAATCCTGGAGAAATGGAGATTCTGGGGTGGTTTAGTGGATCACAACTGAAGACAAAGACATGAAAGTCGCGGTGAAAGGAGAACAGGGATGATAGGAAGATGGGAGGACCATCAGGAAGTTGAGCCTTCCTTAGCCAGTCCCTTCAGGTCAGGACCGACTGCCTCAGCCTCCTTGGGTGAGCGCTCTCCTCCCCGAGAGTGGTGGACTCCTGCAGTAGGTGTGACGGAGAGCGGGTGTGTTGAGTGCTACTAATCTAGACTTCACCTTGCTGTGGGATTGGTGAATCGACCAGATTCACATTGGACAGGACAGAGCTCTCACAGAAATGCTACTGTGCTAAGCTGTAAAAGTTGTTTTTCCTTATTTTAGTGGAGTTTTATGGAAGAGACACCAGAAAGAAGAATGTATCAAGGTTGTTATTAATCATTGCTTTGTAATACTTAAGTGATTACACAGAGCAACACAATTCTGGGTATGAGCACATAAAAGCTCTTGGTATTGGCATTTTTTGGGTTTTTTTGGTACTGGGGATCGAACTCAGGACCTTGAGCTTACAAGGCAGGCAGCAGAACCACTGAGCTAAATCCCCGGACCTGTGCTCCTCTTTTTGACACATTTCATTTGGTTTTGCTTTCTGACAGCTATGAGCTTCACTGTTCAAGAGAACTCACCAAGTTTTTTTTTTTTTTTTTTTTGGTATCGGGGATCGAACTCGGGTCCTTGCACTTGTGCAGCAGGCGGTGAAACCACTGAGCTAAATCCCCGAGCCCAGAATGCACCAAGTTTTTTTGTGTGTGTGTTTTTTTGGTACCAGGGCTCGAACTCAGGTCCTTGTGCTTGCACAGCAGGCGGTGAAACCACTGAGCTAAATCCCCGGCTCGGCACCAAGTTTTAAAAACAATGTGGTGTTACATAGTACAGGAGGTGAATTAATTTGAGAAGTGCAGTGTTTTAAATTGGAATTGTGAGGGCACAATTTCAGCTACTTGAGGATTTTTGATATTCTACTGTAGTGTTGAATTTTCATTGGCTTCTTTTGCTTTGTCAAATATAAAATATTCTGCAATCAGTTGGGTCACTTCCAAGCAAAGTACACAGAAAAAGCAAAGAGGAATGGAAAATTGATTTTTTAAAATCCACAATCAAACACTGGAGTCATGAAACCCCAGTTGGGACTGGGCGCTGTATGCTGAGAGCTCGGGACCCCGAGATGGAAGCCAGCATCTTCCTGATAAAAACCTACAGCTCCCTCCCCCTGAGTCTGTTGGAGGCAGTCCTCGACCTGGGGCAGTGGACTTATCTGTCACACCGCTTGTCCTACATTTTTGAGTAAAATAATCCAGAAATACAACATCTCTCCTGGGTATGTTGTTAGGATGAATGAGATGCTTGCTTTCCAGGGTTAGATGATCTCCACCCTAATGCCACTGCAGGTTAGGGTGAAGTAATAAATTTTCAAAACCCCCAGACATTACATTTTTCAAAGGCTTGGTGTCGGGGAATGAAAGATTGCAGTGTGGCTAACTGGGGATCGGAACTTCCTGTGCTACACTGTGCCCTTATTTCTAGCGGTGCAGCTTTTGTTGTTTCTCTTTGAAGACCCGATTCTTTAGGCGGAGATCTGTGTATTTTTGGAGCACAGCATGGAGACAGACAAGGTATCTGATGGGTCACACAGTTTGGGCAGCAAAGCAGACAGTGCAGGCAGAATCACACGAGATGTGCACGAGGAGGGAGATGTCACCTTCTCTCCCTTTTCTCCTAGGTCGCCTTTCTCGCCTCGAGGACCAGGGAAGCCCTGAGGGTAAAAAAAAGCAAAGCCAAGAGAGCTATTGGTGTAACTGGCAAAATCACATTGTGGAGAAAAGAAACCATCTTAGAATTTCACTGATTTAAACTCAAACATAAAACATGAAGAATTAAGTAAAATAGCGCGTGGAAGTGAGTTTTCTATCCTCTCCATTACATGTATGCAGCAGAGTTTTCCCCTTTGCTCCTAAGAAATGCAGAGTGGCAAGAAAATCCTGGCAAGTTCACTGGTTTGCGTGGGGTTTTACCTCTGTGCTTTAGTTTTGCAAGTGTAAAGTGGGCTAATGCGTATCTACCACATAGCTGTGTGAGTGTCAAAGGAGATGGCCCAACATAAAGAGCAACGTAAAAGATAGGAAGGGATCTTTCTCAAACGAGGGGGTCGAGAGATGGAAGGAGGGGAGGGCATGAGAAAAGGAATTAAGATGTGCCCTGTACCTGCACCAACCCCAGGAAGGAAATCATCACGTGCTGTGAGAATGTGCTAAAAAATACAAAGTGAAGTGCACGATAAAGTGCCAGGTCCATGCTTGCCCTAATAGGTGCTCAGTAAGCAATAATGAACACAACTCTTCCACCTTTGTCATTACCCACATAGTACACAATTGGTTTTGAGGGGCATTTATTTTTGACATTACCTATGTTAGCACGAGAAAATGTATATAGGGACTTAAGAGGAAAAAGTATTGTGTAACAGTCTTGAGATAAATTTAGTATCTGTTCCTTCAGGCTAGCATGGGAGAGGTATGTTGATCTTATGCATATTTTTTCCACAAGTGGATTATGCTGATGTTGCATATCCTAAATTTGGGGAAGTATTTTGAATTGCCAGTATCCACTGTCAGTTGTCAATTTTATACTAAATGGTAGTATTTGTCTTTGTGTTTATCTCATGCAAGCGCAACTGTATTTTATGTTGCCATCTCCATGCACAGCAGTATACGCTCTGTGCATGGCTACATGCACAGAAAAACAAGTATTCCTGCTGTTCGGGGTAGAGACTACCAGAACCTGTTACGATAGGAAGATGTTTATTGTACTCATTACTTACATCAAGACCAGGCTCTCCATCTTTCCCCTGCCAAAGAACCATAGTAGCTACATTAGTGTTCCTGAGTTTTAGGAATGGGGTATGATTTCACTTGAGGCTGCTGGCCATGCAACACTGGGATTAAAACAACTACTTCAGGAATGTGAAAAGTATTCTCTATCGATTAGTAACACAAGGGGCTGCAGGTAAGAGTCATGAAAATTTTTATGTCATACATTGGTTCAGTAGAGTGGCAATGGGCTGGAGTGTAACACTTTCTAGTCACGTGATCAGTTCAAGCATGAAGTCATAGGCAGAAACACTGTTTAGTTGATGTAAAGACGCACCAGCACTGAGAGGATGTGAACCAGTGCTACTTTAATAGCTTAGTGGTTAGTTCATAAATGTGAAAACTGTTAATATTTTAATTTGACTAGATGTGCCCCTTCCGTATAAATATGACAGGTGTGAAGGTCCTAACCACTTTTCAGTAAACTTTGTAAATGTTCGCCAGCCGTGGATCCCCTCAAAGTCCCCAAGCAGCTGCTCTGATTCTACCTGATCTTGACACCTACCTCAAAATCAGCATCTGAAGTAACCATGGCTTAGGGTTATTAGTTCAGCTCACCTTAAGTATGTGAAAGGTAAGGGAGGTTAGAAACCTCCCTACAGCACACGTTTCCTTGGGTCCTACCTGCCCTGCTAAATCAGTCATCACTGAAGCCAAGGTCTTGTTCCTGAAGTAAACTTGACACCTACCTCAATTTGGGAATTGTCAGGTGATAAAACACTATCAATAGTCTATGGTTTTTTGTTTTGTTTTTGTTTTTGGTACTGGGGATCAAACTTGAGACCTTGCACTTGCGAGGCAGGAGGCAGAACCACTGAGCTAAATCCCCACGTTAAAATCCCCCAAACATGGCAATATTCCATGTTTTGAAGATCATTGTCCTCAGAAACACGAAGGCATGGTAAATGTAAATACCCATTTCACATGGAGGATCGTTTTTAGCAGCAAGAGTAGTTTTTCATAAATCACCCATGGGAGCAAATAAAGCATGACAAAGGTCACGGACAACACAACCTCCACTCCCACGGGTGGATACAGTGGGCTCTCCAGGAGGGGCTCAGGGCGGGCACTGACTGACTGCAGGAAGCCTGCTTTCTGGGTGAAGTGGTGTTTGTCCTGCAGCTGGCTCGGGTCCTCAGTCTCGGGAGGTGATGGGGTGTGCTCATGGGAGAGGTGGCACACTGAGGGGACCTGGGGTGAGAAGCGCGGGATTAACTACACTGTGGAGAATGAGTGGGTCATCCTCGCCTCTCCAGTGTGATTAGTCAGGCCCACGAGGGAGGGGTTAACCATGTCAGTGGCAGGACAGAGGCATGCTGAAGGCTGTGACCCTTCGAGGGACAGGAAACTCACAGGCAGGCCGTAGGGCCCTCTGGGTCCTGGCTCTCCCACAGCTCCTTTTTCTCCCTAAAATGAAAAGTGGAAAGTCTAATTCATACATGTGCATCTGTGAAGAATGGTAAAAAAAATATGGTGAATGTTTATATTTAAAGGTATTACAGTAAGGACACATTGCTGTGAATCCTTCTCAAAATATCCTCCCTTGCTTCAAGCACACTTATCCTAACCTCATTCTTGCCACTTTCTGCAGCAGCTCTGGAGTCCTCTTCTCTGAATGTCTCTGGTTGTACTGTCCTGGTTGCCTGGATATCTTGAATTGATCCACAACATTGACCTCTCAAGGTCAGATTGACTTTAGGGAAGAGCCAGGAGTTGCAGGGCAGCAGATCCAGTGATGGGGGTGGATAGGACACACGTAGTTTTTATGAACCCTCCTTTCCACTGGATGGCAGCGGCAGCAGCATTCAGAGGATTTTGATCACATCTCATAATTTCAGTGGGACTTGGCCTGTTATTTATGATTTTTAAAACAGCAGGGAAACCGGGGCTTAAAGGCGAGGTCAAGAGCCCGGAGAAGGCTTAGTTGGAAATAACCCTACAGATGACGGTGGGTCTGGTTTGGAAAATCTCCACTGATTACCTCGATATCACCACTCCCTTCCCCTCCTCCAGAGAACTTTGTCTTTATTTTGTTCTTAAATATGCTGTGGTTTCTCTGAATAAATGAGTCACTAAAACGTTACTCTGTGAAACCCCTCCTGGGGATTAGCCCACCCCGCCATGACTCAGCTGCGAAGGCCACCCTGCTTCTCTGGCCATGCCGGGCGCTCCGGGGAAGGTGTTCTTCCGCTGGAAAGGCGGCCTGGGGAGTCTACCTCTGGCCCTCTCCCGAGGGGTGCTCAGAGCTTGCCTAGTCGGAACACAAAGCTAGAGCCGCCCTCTGACTATTTTGTTATATGAAACAACAGATTTCTTCATCATTTAAACCATTTTGAGTTTAGGTTCCGTCTGCTAAAGCAAATGGCACCATCGCGATTCCAGCTGGAATATGCTTGGGAAGGAAGCAGTGACACAAGTGTGTGAATGTGTGACTTCCTGTCCTGGGTGAGGAATGCCGAAGGACTTTGAGCCTCTCCACCTTAACGCACTGCAGAGTTCGAAGCAGGTGCGAGGGCACAGGACTGGCTTCCAAGGACGAAGAGGCTTCGGGTGCTCAGACCTGACAACGAGGGCTGTCACTCACATTTGGGAATGGCGGATCGGGCCGGGATGCCTCCTTCCTCTTCGGCTGGGCTCATTTCCTGCAGTGCTTTCTTTGCTGCCCTGGGAAATCGTTCTGGGATGCCTCCTTTTGCTGATTTCTGTCTCTTTCAAATCTCAAACTTCAAGAGTCTCCAGCTGGCACCACGTTTAACTCTGAGAGTCACTCTCTAGTTTGGCACTTTGGGTGAGGGGCACTTGGCCAGGACTGACACACGACACCCGGAACACTTCACACTCACGCCATGTGCCTGCAACTGCGCCTTCAGAAATTCTCAGCGACTTCATTTGCTTTTGGGGCTAATCCTGCCCGGCACGGAGACCTGATACTCTTGTGACACCGAGGAGCAATCGGAAGTAGCAGCTGATTTACCCAACGGTAAACCTCTTGAGCCCCGGCAGTCTGCCAAAAGATTTGCTGCTCCAGTTTTAGTACAGGGGCTCAGTTACTTCATGCAGTGCTCGGAGCGCATCTGCCTTGGTCAAGCCGAGGCTCTTAGCTTTTAAATGTTTAATTAAGATGATCCTGAGAAGCTGTCAGTTTGATCTGAGAAATGAGACAGCAGTGGGTTCCAATTTGGTGTTGCTTCTGGACTCATCTATTTGGAGAACTGTTCTTAGATATGTCAGCCGCCATCGTGTGCACACCCCGAGTACTTGTTTTCTCTTTGGCCTTATTCTCTGCTTATTTCTTGCATACACCTTTTTTCCTTCTCTGAAATTACTGTAAACTCTCAGAGGTCAGGGAAAATAGCTGCTTTCTTTGCAACAGTGAATATAAGCATTAAAAAAGACCAAGATAATGAATCAGTTATAATGGTGGTGTTCAGTGCAGACAGGCAAGATAGGCTTCATGTAAACAGGAGGAGTTTCCATTTCACACTTCAAGTAGTACTATGCTTCGCACATAGTAGCATTGGGCAAATATTTATTACATCAGTGAATTCACTTTATAGGACACAGAATCAGGGGATTGAGAGGCATATCAAAGAAATCACTACCAAGCCCTCTTTCTTAAAAACCTGTTTCCGGGCTGATGAAAATGATCTCGTTTTAAAAAGACCATAGACGTGCAGAGTGACTCATTCCAACGCTTTGAAACACTCTTGTAAGATACTTTCTTTTATGTCCTCTCCTAGGTGATGGGGAAATTGATGACACAACTCTATTCAGATACGCAAAATGCTTCCATGGTTTTCAAGGAGAGGAAAACAAAGCCTGGGAGACAGGAAGACAGCTGCTGATGCCGCATGTCCCTCTGTGTCGGACATTTAGCTCATCCGCAGCATCTTTTTCCTTTTTCTCTCCTAAGGATGTGGACACGTGTCCTAGCCATAGAGAGGTTAGTGAAAGGTCTTTGTTTTTATAAGAACTGAAATTATTTCCTTATGGCTAAAGAAAAATGGGCTATTCTTTAGCTCAAAAAAATGGGAGCATGTGTAACTATGCAGAGAGGAATACTTAGGTTTTGTAATTTCCTTTGGAAAAACGTTGTAACTTACCCTGAATGAATACAGTAGCTTTATATTAAAGATTATCAGCCAGACTATGTAGTCCTGGAAACTGTAGCTCCGTTGCCTTCAACTTTCTGGATGAAGGCCAAATGAAAATACCTTCCTTATGGGTTAAGGAGAAACGATCAGAGCTATTTATTTTAGCTATGTAAATGTGTGCATTGTTTTTATTAAGGCGGCCCTATTTTATTTTGTACCCGGTGGTTTTCTTCTCTTGGTGTTTGAGGAGTCTGAATAGAATGTAACATGGTATATTTTCAGTGAGTCCTAGGTAGTCATTTATTTCTTCTGGAAAATGAGCAGCTCAAATTCGACTAATATGAAAAAGCCACGTTCTGTTTCCCTCAGTCCACAGCTTAAGCTTAATAATTTCTGGGGCAACTTACTCTTTCTCCTTTGGGGCCGGCGGGGCCATGGGGTCCCACAGGACCATCTGTACCCTAGGAAGAGATAAAAATAAAAGAATATGAGACACGTGACAAGGGCCACAGGAAAGACAGGTATGATTTATCCTGGCCTTTTCCTGGTGGATGATGCCTTGGGATGTCAGTGAGACAACACACCTTTATTGTCCATCCTTTCAGCCCAGTGGTTTTTGAGAAACTTATGCTAAAGGGATAAATTATATAACAGTGCATTTCAGTGAAGAGTCTACACAAAAAGCCATACATCATGTTGAATTAGAGATTTCCTCCCTGACTAAACGAGGCACCTTCACTTGGCCCCTAATCTTAACAAGAGAAATGTGACCGTCCTTCCCCCTCACTCACTGCCACCCTGGACCAGGCAAGCTCAGAAGTCTTGCTTGCGCCATTTAAGTGGTTTGAACAGTTATATGAGTAGAAAAAATAGTAAATGGGAATGATGTTTAACTGTTCCACTCAGAATCTGTGCAGCTCTGTTGGGAACAGGGGTGGCTTATGGGGAAGGAATTCTTCTTCTAGGTTCTATGGCAGTGGCTGAAGTCACTGGGCTCGCTCCTTGCAAACCAGGCAACTGAGGTGATTTAATGGTGCCACCAACTTCTGGCCTCTGGGTTCATCGAGTGCTAGGCTTTTGGTGGCAGGAGAGGTAACATGTGAATGAATACAAGGGACCCTGGGGCACAGTGGAGAATAATGGCTGCTTGAAGCAGTGTGTTGGAGCTGAAAAGCCTGGAATTCCTTTTAGATTCTTAAAAATGTAGCAAGGATGTCAAGTATGCTTGGTCATTTGTCAGGAAGATTATGCACAGATTTGCAAAATATTATAATACTTGCAAATGTAGGAACTATGTCAGCATGATTTTTCTATAGGACTTCATTTCTATTCCACGATTCTAGTTTATTCTGCCAGAGTCTTATAATATGAAAGAATTCAGATTTTCAAATTCATCCTAATGTTAGTGAATTTTCATCATCTTAAACGATGTTTCTGACTGCCTCTACTCAAAATGTATCTTTAGAAGACTTGTAAAGAGGATCTGTGGCTAAAATCAGAGATAGTAAGATCTCTGATCAGAGAAGAGACACAATGACAGCAGACAGACAAGTCATTTCCATGGACAGAGACTGAAAGTTCCAAGGGAAGAGTTGTATTTCTAAGATGGACATAAATCTCAAAGAACAGCAAGTTAAAGTACATTCGTATTTAACCTCTTCAGAGGCAGTTTAGTCTGTACTTCAAATAGAGCTGCAGTCCATTCTGTCACCTTGCCTCTCTTCCGCCATCTTAGTCCACCTTCCCCTCAGACGCCAGCCCCAGGTAGCTTCTCATCGTCTGATGAGAGCAGGTGGAACTGCAGAGGGTCTGCCCAGAAGCCCGAGGTCCACAGCCATGAAATATGTCAGAGCAAGATGAGCGACTGACTCACCCGGGATCCTGGCTTTCCATCTAAGCCAGATGCTCCCTGTGATTGGGTTGGTAGCAGGGTTGGTGGGTGTGACACGAATGACAAGAACAGAGATTAGTATGAGGAACCAGTGAATATATTAACACTTCCAACAACATACTAGGCACTCACAGGATTCTGGGGTGAATATCACATTGCTACACATTGTTAGTTTTTAAAAAACACATGACAATAAACATTCCACAGATGATGGCATTTTAATGACATTTCTATTAGGCAAACTCTTATCTAGAAATCAAGCTAATGAGGTTTATAAAATGGGCTACAAAGTAGTTACTGGCAATAGTAAAAGGCTCCTATCTAATTTCCATGTGAAAGTCATTTTCTTAAGGCTGTTGTTCACAGGCTGTTTCATTAGGGTCTGGGGAGAAGATAATGCTCCTCTCCTAAGACAGGGCTCAAGGGCTCGATAGAATAACCAAATTTAGCATTTCAGAGCATTAAAACAGCTGTAGTTACACTTTTTAAAATACTGTTTATGAACAAGAAATGCTGCGTTTTAATATGTTGGGATGTATGGACGATATTCAATATTCAATATTCATTGTTTTCTGAGTTGTTCCTACAGTTCATGTTTGTCACCACTAGAGGGAGTTCTACGAACAGGGAAAAAAACCCCGTGTGTGTGTGGGGTGTGTGTGTGTGTGTGTGTTAAGACAGATCTTGAGGTCAATGCAAAAAATAACTCCCAAACTCAATCCTGGCATTGAAGCCTGAATGGGAAATGCCTTAAAAATCTATGTTCTTAGGCAATGGGTGCTTTTCTTTACCTGGAGCCCCACAAATAGTATATGATATAAAAATGAGATTTCTGATGGGAGTTTACAGAACAAGTCTAATTTTTATAAGGTTTTGCATCTTGAAGCCCAAGTACTTATTTATAGTAAAGATTAAAGATATTGGCTAGATCAAGTATTTAAGAAGACAATGCACTGGGCCCCTAAGGTCTCTGGCAAGGCTGTAGAACTATTTCCCAATTTTATGCTTCAGATGCAGTTAATAAAACAAAACAAAACAAAAAATTTATCCCAGCTGCAAACTCTGCCAATGATGCTATACCATAGCCATTTTGGGTATTAAAAAAAAATCCTTCTGTATAATCCTATTATGATCCACACTGTCACAACAAAATACATCTTTAGTTAGCAATGCTTACAGTAAAAAGGTGTATTGCTATTATTTATTTATTGGTAGTATAGACAGAGTTTGGCTAAATGTTGCATGGAAATTACTGACAGCTCAAAACTTAGGGCACATATAGAGAAATCATATTAAAAGTTTAAATAAAAATTCAAACTTTCTTTTGGCTTTTGATATATCCTTCAGTTGCCATTATTATAACATTTGCAAAGAAACGGGAAAATGGTAATAATCTACGTCTACTATGTGCCTGATTGGTAAAGGGCTGGGCTCTCAGATGGAATACTTTAGGACTTCAAGCAAATCATCTTTGAGAAAAATGAAATTAGTCATCATCTTTTCCCTCCCACATCTTAAATATATGTACAAACTATTTTCTATTATTGATTTTATGTCATATTTCACTAATGCAAGCTCTAGGGCTCTTTACTGAGTTTTACTTGCATTCGCTGGCTAGGAAGTATATTAAAAGTTGAAACTAAAGCCTCAGATGCAGTAATAATTTTAAGTCTTTTAGCTGTTGTGGGAAGAAGGCTTGCATAAAATACATGAAAGGGAAAATCCTTCTTCCACATTGTCCATGTTGCCCCAAGAACTTCATGATGGGGAATTTCCCAAACAAACAACATATAACATGTAGAACACATGTGACTGATTAATGTGAGGGACCACAGCATTGACCTCACGCCACTGACAACGGCCAATTGTATCCGTGCCACCAACAGAGGGCTACAGTTTTTGGTACCCAAGGAGAAAAGACAATTGAAGGAGGTCCTAAACTGCACTAGAATAAGTTTAATGGATGCAACACTCTTTAGAGGAGGGTGATGGGGAACTGTCAGCCCGGAAAGCGGAAGTTGGCACGTTTGCAATTGGAGAATGACGGAACATTTATGGCATTGTTACGGGGTCATCCTCTGCCACCAGGGCAGACGTCAGAGAGACAAAACTGGGCTGAGCTCTTCTCTGACATGGTGTGATTTCGGATTACAGAAATCTCTGCAGTAAGACAGCTACTGAGTAAACCAGCGTTGTTACTTAGGCTAGAAAGAAAAATCTCAGTGTGCACTGAGACGGAAAGTTTACTTACTGGGAGACCAAGGGGTCCTCTGTCACCCTTTTGACCTGGTTCACCCTTCAGTCCTTTAACACCATTTAACCCTGGTTCACCCTAAACGCAAAAGCAAATGCCAATTGTGGTTGCTATTACGGGTGTTTAAAGTGTGAGAGAAGAGAGCCAGTCTCTGAGATCATTGCATATTCCAGTTTTCAGTAACAGCAGAGTCAGGCTACATCTGTCTCGGATCAGTTCAAAAATTAATGAAAATATTTTAAGTGAATAAACCGAAATGAACAATAGAATAATATTCTAGGAAGCAAGGCTCCCCAGAAAGAGTGTTCCTTTCCATCTGAAGATGCATGGCTGAGTTCCTTAATCTTTCAGTTCCATCTCAAGGAAATAAGTGCTATTGTATCTACATCGTTCTGATCAGGCGAGTCAGTCAGGATGGAGCTACTGAGGTACTTTCTTCAGAAAAACCCACTCTGCTGGAATGGAGAGCTGGAACATGCAGGAGAGAGTTACAGACAGATATTTTAAGCCTTTAAGCATTTTGTCCAGGGGAATGAGCTAAAATGTAGCAGCTGATGTTTGAAGTGATGCCATTCAGCAAGTCCTCCCAAGTCAGGCCCTACACGGATTAACCAATAGAGTCCACAGCAAGTCGTCCCTCCCAGAGGAGAACATGAAGATCAAAGAACCCGAGTGTTTTACTAACTGCTCATCTCCCTGATGCAAGAATCAAGTCGGTACGAATTTAACTCGAGGTGACATTACAAAAGTCAGGTCAGTGATAAATTCTCTTTACTCCCTTTTGCAAAAACCTAGGAATACACTACATCCATTTTCCACCAGGAAAATGTTAGAGGCAGAGAAAGTTCTGACCCATACACTCTTCAGCATGTAAGTACAGACGTCAATTTGTCAAGGAACTCTCCAAAGCCTTGTGAAGATTTCAGAGAGGGGAGAGGTTACGCTCACGTGGAGGGGGAGTCGTAACGCAGGCAGCATCTGCCCAGTCTGCCCAATGCGTGCTGGTTACCCAGGGAGTCCGTGCCCCTTCTAGACAACAGTACCACAGGGACGGGTGTGTCCTTCACGACTTGGAGGCTCTTCTCAGCAGGAGCTCTGGGGAAGCTGAGTGAGATTTAGCTGTGCTATCTGTATATTTGAACCTTCAAAGGACGACAGAATAACGGGATCCCTGGCCCAACAGTGAGTTTTCGGGATTTCAGAAAGAGGGGTTTGCGGTGCAGCCACAAGAGGAAATCTGACTGTGTGACAGCTGCGGCGTCTGTCCTGGGAGTGTCAGAGTCGTGGTCAGTGTGGCTCTCTGGCTCCACTCACCCAGTGTAAACCTGAGGTGATGGACAAGTAAGACAGCAGGAGTAGGCTGCGAGAGTTCTGTGGAAGCTCTACCCTGACAGGAGCGGGCGTTAGAGGAGAGGGTCAGATTAAAACAGTCAAATTCCCTCACACCCTGGACCAAATTCTAGTCCCAGATCTGTCACTGTGCAGCTGCATAATTTGGGACAAGCAAACTTCCCAGGCTTGCAGTTTCTCAACTATAAAGTCAAGGAACTAGCATAGAGGTCATCTCTGAGGTCTTCTCAGTTGTACAGTTTTCCGAATCTATTATTTTAATATGAACAGAATCATTTTATTTTACATATCAAAAAACTTTGGGCATCTTCTAATTCCATGGTGGCGGCACATCTGAATCATTCAATTAGAACCAATTAAAACCAATCCTGGTGCCACCCTTAGTCATTACCACTGGGCTGACCTTCGGTGGCACCTCTAGATTCAAGGAGAAGCTGTGCGTGGGGAGTGTGGATTTAGTCCACGGTGGGAAAAGGCATCAAGAGGTTAAATAACTACCAAGCTCATAAGCCAAAGTGGTCTCTTCTGACCCTGAGAACCATACATGCTTCTGCGACTCGGACACTGGCCTCGGCAGAAGGAAGGCATTCTAAGGTGGACTTCACCCGTGGGTGGCAGCAGCCTGACCCTGAAAAGGAAATTCAAGGCTACCTGACAGTGCCCGGAACCTGCTGCAGCCTTGGAGCTGGGTGGGCCATCCCAGCCTTCCTGATGCCTACTGCCAACAGTACTGTCCTCCTACTCTTTCAAATGCACCAGCTCCTGGGGAGGAGCTTCCAGGAGCCTGTCAACTTCTTCTCAAGGAGCCTAAGGACAGGCTATCTTGAAATTTTCTATTTAGAAGGAAGCATCAAGTCACAAGATAACAATAACAAGGGACACTGATGAGTGTTTATCAACCAGCTCAACAAGCGAACCAGAGATTTTGCTGAGTCTTATAATCCTGCCTCTGATCACCACAGCAACTCTGAGATAAGTTGCTAGTTGAGTGAATGAAGAATCAGAGTGGCAGCGATCTGCCAAGGTGACAAAGCCTGGCAGAGGCCAAGCTGAGATTAGCACAGAGGCCCTCATTGCCTGCACGCCCTGGAAGGAGGAGCCTGTATTTCAGGGCGTCCTCCAGACTGACAAAGGGAAAGGAGCTCCTCCCAGTGCAAGCCTCACTCATTCTGACAGGAAAGGGCTTTTCTCCAAAGTGCATAGCATGCAGGTAAATGATGGGATCTTCCCAGTAGAGGACACCTGCTCTCCCCAACCCCAATCTAGACCGAAACCAAGAGGCTCCTCGTACAGCCATTCCAATGTAGCCACACTATGCACAAGCATAACACCAAATACACAGCTGGGCCTATCCCAAGAATGTCATCAGTTGACGCTGAATGGTTGGCCTGAGTATATTATAAACATACATAGTGACAAAGGAAAAAGCAAGATGAGGAAAAATTTGTCTCCAAGGGTTATCATTTAAATTTGTTGAAGTCATTTTGTACTTGAGATTTAAACATGTGGATGCTTAAAGGCTTAAAGATTATCAATGTTACTTGACAAAGAAGACAGGGCAGACATGCTTCCATCGCTTCCCCACGATATCAGGAAACAAATCAAACAGCCAAGGGATTTGTTGGATTACCTTGGGTCCAGGAAGCCCATGGGGTCCCTGCAAATGGAAAACACAACTTTTAATTAAGAATTGGTTTGCTGTTTCCCAGCAGAAGTGAATTTTATATCAAGCAAAGAGATGTAAGCCAAGAATCTTCTCCTTGAGCTATAGCTAGAGACGGGCCACTGGGTGTTACTGATTAGCTACCAAAGTTCCTTCTAGTCTTGCATTGCCCTGCAATAGGAAATTCATTAATAGCAGTTCTGTCTGCTAAATACCTATGAGAGGGAGGGAGAAATCTGCCAGGGTTACATGGGAAAAACATTAGGAAAAAAGCTATTCTGGGGCCGGGGATTTAGCTCAGTGGTTCCGCTGCCTGCCTTGCAAGCGCAAGGACCTCAGTTCGATCCCGGGTACCGAAAAAAAAAAGCTATTCTGAATTGACATTACTCCCACTTCTCAAATTTCTGTTTTTTCTGGTAGAATATTTGAGATATTCCATGGACTTACACAGAATAGAGATAGGACATAAAAGCCAGAAAACTGCCAGTGAGAAGTCCAGCAGCTTAGGTACCAGGGAGGAGGAAACCTTTCTGACTAACTCCGCTAGGCCCAAGGTACTGAGGAATCTAAAGGAGACAGGAAGCGGGGAGACCACAGCCATGTATGGGACCCTATGACATCATCTATTTAAGATTAAGGTGGGCTAAGCATTGTTTAGGTTGCATTTATTTTTACAAAGATAAATTCTTTAAAGCCTAACAATTGTTTACCAATGAAAGTTATAATGCATACATGAATCAGTGTAAAAATGTCTTTCATGAAAATCTAAATATAGATACTAATTAACAGAAGGTTACTGTACATTGGTTTAAAAATTTCAAGTGATTTAAATAAATATTTGGGGAGAAAATCATTTAAATAGCCATCAGTGAAGTCATGCAACAGCAGGAAAAATTTTGGTTATGCTGTGGCTAGATATTTATTACCTATGTCTACATAGAAGAATATTTTCCTTTTAGATAAGTTGTGGTAAAACAGTTTCAGGAAGTGGCTGCTACGTTGTCGGGTATTCTTACCTCATTTTAATACTAGTTTAAAATTCCTTTAAACTAATGAATTTTATCATATGAACAGGATGTAGCATTTTCTAATTTAACTTTCTAACGAAGTGGAGGGAATCTAAAAAGCCAAAAGCATGACATCTCTTAATTCTTAATGAACTATTTGGCTTTAAGAAAACAGGTACAACTGGCCAATAACTACATGAAGAAACGCTCAGTGTTGCTGGCCATTAGCGAAATGCAAATTAAAACAAGACTAAGATTCCTGAGATTCTGTCCTACCCCAGAAAGAATGGCCATCATCAAGAAATCAAATAATAACTGCAAGAGAGGCTGTAGGGAAAAGAGAACCGTTCTATACTGCTGGTGGGAGTGTAAACTAGGTACAACCTCTATGAAAGTCAGTAAGAGATTCCCCAAAATGAAAACTGGAAACTCCATTTAAGTAGTCCCTTTTTAAGTATCTTCCCGAAAGAGTTGAAGACATCCTATTGAAGTGATCCATGCATACCCATGTTTATAGCAACACAACTCATAATGGCTAAATATTGGAAGTGGCCTATATGTCCATCCACAGATGAATGGATAAAGAAAGATAAACTTGAGTCACTTATAGGAAAATGGATGGACCTTGAGACCATAATGCTAAGTGAGATAAATGAGACACACAGGCTTCAACGTTGCATGGTCTCTCTTATGTGAGAGACTCAAAGTAGAAAGAGCACAATAAAATGATAGGCAGCAGGGAGGCAGATCTTTCCCACATGGGAAGGGGATGAACACGGAGTGAAGACGTGCTGTGTCCATGGGCCAACTCCACACAGGAATGCAGACGTGATGTGCTGCAAACAGGGACGAACAGAAAAATAAAGGAAACAAGGTGGAATCTGGTCAGTGAGAAGTGGATGACTGGGCTTCTGTCGGCCCGGATCATTTCAGTAATGCTCTCTTTAGGGCAGGGAGGAGAAAGGAGCAGGCCCCATTTAACCTGCATTACTGCTGTCTCTGGTTTGCAGGAACACCTTACAGACGAGCATGGCCTTCCAGATTGCCTGCCCTGCCCTGCCCTGCTCTCGCCCCGTCGAGAGTACTGAAGCACCCTGCCTTCTACCTTCTAGCCTGGGCGCACCCGTCCTCAGTCCGATGCCGGGAAGGATGCCGGTTCGATGGCCACCTTCCTCCCTGGACCTAAGTCCTCTGAGGTCAAGCTGTCTCCACCAGTCACTGCAGGACACCTGTGGCCACATGAGGCCCGGCTCAGGAAGTCTCCCAGGTACCCAACCAAGAAAGGACAAGAGCCTTACCCTGTGGAAATGTACTTCAACTTTTCCCACACTATTTACCGGACACTTCATTAGAGGCTCTCAAGCCTCAGAGAGGACTAGAAGCATTCTGTAGAGGGTTGTCATTATCTTACTTTGCTGCTAAGAGACTGGAGCAATGACTGGTTAAAACAATTTGCCAGTGTCCACGCTGTGAGGTGGGAGTACAGCTTGGCGCACTGTCTCTCCTCCTGTCCTGTCACTGTCTCCCACATGTGTGTTCTGGAAGTGCGCAGCACTGACAAGTCTGCATCTCGGAGCACCTCTGAGTTTCTCCCCATCCCCCGGAGAGTACTGCAGCGTCCACGCTGGCTCTTCCCAGGATGTGTTCCTGCTTTGTCCACAGCATGCTCATAAATAAACAAGTACCTTCGGGAGGGATGGGAAACTTACCATGGGGCCAGGAGGACCGTGGGGGCCTGGGGGGCCCGGTGGGCCTATGATCTGCGTATCCAAAAAACAAACATGGATTTGGTTACTCCATTTAGATAAGGCAGGTCAGCCTGGGTCTTGTGCTCGGCTCTGCTAAGGCCATTAACAGCCACCGCGAAAGAAAGACTGCAGGAAGTGATGTTTGGTTTTCTGGGTTTAGAAATTCCTTCATGAGAGTCCAATAGCTTAAAAAACACAGTTGTACGAATGCCCAAATGTATTAAACATACATTAAAGGGAAAGAAGCAACTGACTACCAAGAATGGCTATAATGCCACAACCACTGTGAAACTCCAATATTTCGCCATGTGCCGACAGGGGTCTGGAGAAAAGAAAGAATATAAGCTCTACTTTTCACAAAACTCTACCCATAAGTGCTGTGGGAAAACTGCTGACATTGTTTTCTTCTTGGAATTCAACAGCCCTTTGGAAAACTGCTTCTGACCCGGGCAGCTGACACGCGGTGTCTCTCAACACGCGGTGTCTCTCACTGGGCAAGGGGACGGGCTGTCTTGGTGCTCACTCTGCCTGCTGCTGGCGCGCTATGCCATGGCTGGCCTGGGGAACTGCAACTCTGCCCGCGCGTTCCGGGAGCCGGGGTGTTCGGCCTGGGCACTTACGGAAGGACCTTGAGGGCCTGGCAGTCCGGAGTCTCCCTTTTCTCCTTTCATCCCATTGGCACCCTGCGAATAACAAGCAGGAGGCGGCAGGTCGGCAAAGGCAGCTCCAGTGTGTAAGGGACACTGAGCGTCCTCCCCAGCCGCACCCTTCTCTTCAGGTTTTATATGATGATGCACAAGATGTATAAAAGGACTTATCTCCTTGTATTTTAGCTTAAAATAGCACTTACTAAAATATCCAGGATTATGGGTCATAAAATAGATAAAAAGCTAGGCTGGACTTGATTAAACTTACACAGTATTAAATATATTGGGTTATAAATGTTGTATCTTTTATGGTGGAATTCATTTCAAATAGCAAAGTTAAACCCTTTAACTTCGTTTTCATGGACATTTATTTATTTACTTTCTTTAAAAAAGATGTAGGGCAGGAAAGTTCACTACATTTTAAAAAATAGCTTCTATATTTCCCCTGCAAATTCTCAGTAAAACTTGGGGAGGGGGGAAACCATAAAAGCACTGTCTGATAGCATCATGCACACAAGGAGAACACCTTAGAGAATAATTTGTCTTTAATTGTTCTCTACAGATATCCTTTTTTTGAGATAGTCTCGCTATGAAGTTCAGGCTGCCCTTGAACTCACTATGTAGCCCAGGCCGGCCTTAAATTGCAGTGATCCTCCTGCCTCAGCCTCCCAAGTGCTGGGATTACAGGTGTGTGCCACATCTGGCTTGTTCCTTATTTTTTGATTTATCGTGATAAAATAAGCCAAAAAGAAATGTTACCACCATATTATGCATACTAAATCAAAGTGACCAGTTATATTTATCTTACCATCTTCTAATGAAAACAATTTAGGAAAGCATGAGGGTTTACTTTCTAATGCTTTTGCCTATATACTTTTCCATTTTAGTTCCCCAGTTGGAGTAATTAGCCACTAATACTTCAAATAGTTCAAAATAAAAATACTCTAGGAACCATTGATTGAGGTTCAGTTAATAATTCTTTTCTGGTTTTTAGGTTGTCTTAAAAAGAACATACCCTAAGAAGTATAAACATACCGGTAATCCAGGAAGCCCAATTCCTCCTTTTTCACCTGGCACCCCTGGGTCCCCTGTGTCTCCCTTTGAGCCTTTGAGTCCCTAAAAATGACAAGATTTGAATGTAAGAAGTGCAGCGACCGACAGTTACATTCAGGGAAAAGAGAATATAGACCTGTTTTCTCAACAGGTGAATTGAATGCGGAGATGACTGTGTTCATGCTTAGGTAGAGCTGTTTCTTAAAATCTGCACTGAATCAATATTGATTCCCCACGTAAGGAAGGGATTTAAATTCTATTAATCCATTTAAATAGGAAAAACACGAACGTAGGTTTTGACATCACTTCTCCTGGTTTCATGTTTTACTGGCAGCTAATTCCAACTTAGCAGTCCTGAAAACAGTGTAACGGCTCTAATTCTAGCAGTACAGTGTACAATTTGAATGAGAATCTAGTGCTAGAACACAGGTCCAAACAGAGTTCTTCCCTACCTGCTTATTCTAACTACACGCAGACTTCCAGCCATCAGTTTTCAGTGGTCCAGGCTCCAGACAGGTAAATCATCTACACTAAAGCTCAACGATGCTTAAAATCACTTCAACTTTTCCACAGCGTTCTTATTTTTCTATCTCTGCGAAGCGAGCCGGGCTGTTTTTATTTTCCTCTTACAGTGAGGAAATAGACAAATGTGCATTTGGAGTGTTAATTCTGAATTGCGTAACTTGAGTACTGAAATTAACTTCTCTGGTAACCACTTTCATCGTGGGGATCTCGGTATGAGCAGCTGGCCTAGCCTTCAGAGAGGCCGCTCATGCTCATGCGGCACGGGGCCTGCAGGCAGCACAAGGGACAGGAACACGTATGTCCCTTGTGATCCGAGCCTATCTTGGGAACTAGTTCAGAACCGTGCAGTGGGTGGGTGAGTGGGGTGCTGCCTGAAAAGGTGGATCCATCCTCTCGGCTAATCAGACCCTTGTGATGGAAACAGGTGACACGCCCAACTCCCAGAAGGGCCCAAAGCTTATAGAAAGACCCGATTATCGTGTATGTGGGGCTGTGTAGTGAGTACGGCATTACACGTGTCAGCTTATTTATAATGACAGCAGGAGGGGTCACACAGCCAGAGCTTTAGATCCTCATGTGATCTTGGTGAGATAGCAAATCCATTATTTTTTATCATACATTCTTTAGTGTGGCACATGACTTCGATGTACAACTCTGATATTAAAAATAACACTTCTCATAAACTTCTTGCCTGATAGTTTCTCCCAAGGAATGCATGTTCACTGGCTGGACCAAGAATCCCCTCGTAGCCAGGTGTGGTGGCCCAGGCCTCTCCTCCCAGCACTGTGAGAGGGCTGAGGCAGAGACACCAGGGCAAGCCCAGCCCAGGGAACTGAATGACTTAGCGAGATCCTAAGTCAAAGTGAAAACCAGGAAAAGGGCTGGGGATGCAGCTCTGTGTGGAGAGCTCTGAATTCAATTCCCAGTGCCAGAAAAAAGAAAAAAAATAAAGAACCCCTTTGATATCTTATAATCTCTGTGATTTTAGCCATTGCTGGCATAAATAAGGGAATCTCAGAAAACATTAAACATCTTTAAATACTCCTTTGATTCTGAATGTTGTCCACGTCCTCCTAGGAAGAGTCTTAAGAGGCAGAAGGCACCCAAACCACAGCCCTTGTCCCACGACAGCCTAGGCTGTGTCTTGGTTCAGGCAGAATTTCCAACAAGTGCTAAAGGGAACATGTGCTGGAGATACATGCAGCCTGCAAAGCCCAAGACATGAACCTCTGCCTAGGGGAGCCCCGAGGTAACATACTCTGTAGGACTCTAAATGCCCTACTTGCTCTGTCTTTTCTAAGGATCTAGGCAATTAGTTATGACCTCTACTTGGGAAAGAAAACATTGTCAGAAATACACATTAGCAGTACCTTGTTTTTTAGTAATTCATCCCCAACTTCAGTCTGGAGTCACCTGTACTCACTGACATTCTTACTAAGTTGGTAACGATGGTGCAGGTTTATTAAAATGCAGAGGAGTCACTGGTAGATTGGTGGGAGATACTGAGAACAAACCAAAGTACCATGTGGCTTTGTGTTTCTGCAAATAAAAACTAAAGTCAAACTTGAGACCAATTGCTTTGTCGAGTTCATGTGGCCTCCAGAACAGATGGCGGAAGAGAGGATATCACGTCAATGTGCATGGATGACATTTTGGCTTCAAACCTAGGATGAAAGTAGTGATCAATAATGATATTTTAAATAATGGTATATAGGCTTGAAAATTACCTGCTCTCCATCAACTCCTGGGTTCCCTGGAGACCCTGCCTCGCCCTGTTAAAATACAAAAAGGGGAATGGGGAAAAAGTAAGAACCAGGGGGCCGGGATTTAGTTCAGAGGTGCCACTGCCTGCCTCGCAAGCGTAAGGTCCTGAGTTCGATCCCCAGTACCAAAAAAAGAACCAAGATATATCATGTCCAGGTACAAATTCCCAATGATGAATGTGATCATGATATACACCTACAATGTACCACTAAACTTAATGAACAAAAAATATAAACAATAGCTCACTTCCATTTATTACCGCTATTATGATACGCTGAAGAAAATGATGCTAATGGTTAAAAGTACAATTTGAGTTTTAACAAATGCCCAAGAATACTCTTTTGGGACCTAGCCTCACTAAGTGAGCTGGTGATCATCTTCCTTGATAAGACGTGGATGTAGCTAAGATTTAGTGCTTTTATTTTTTCCTCCATGTGAGATGCAGGCTAGAAAAATGGTCAAAGAAAACTGATAAAAATAATTTCATGGCTGATCATATCCTATAAGAACACCTATTGACTCAAGTTCATTTTTTTGTACATCTGAAATATGTATGATTTTTCTTATTTTTAGTAAAAACTAAGAATGAAATGCAAGGCCTTGGCAACTTATAGCAATATTTTAACTGGCACCATTTGAACAAGTTCATAATGACTATGAGTGTACTATGTCCATAAAGTCTCACTGAAGGATATAATAAATCAGATACTATCTTAATCCACAACAAGTTTAGATCAATTCCATTTCCTGTACTGTGCTAGGAATGGAAATAAAATTTATTGGCTATTACGATCTATTGGAATCTTTGACAAATTGAAAATATTTTTTAAAACTAAGATGCTCCATTAAAAATAAATTTAAACAATATTCTAGAGATTATTCAAACACATATTTAGTCACCTGTTTTAGAAAGTACTAAACCAACAAATTCCTTGAAAAAAATTATTTTATATCAATGAGCACTTGTGTGGCTCTCATTACAAATACTCCTGATTCTCACACCGAAGAAATTCTAGAAACAGGGGCTGGGGATTTAGCTCTGTGGTTTTGCTGCCTGCTGCGCAAGCACAAGGACCCGAATTCGATCCCCAGTACCAAAAATAAATAAATAAATTCTAGAAACAGTTCTGCATGTGACAGATTTCCAAGGGAGATGACTTTTGGTGTATTTTCTAGAGCTGTACTTTCTAGAATGGCTTCTTGGTGATGTTACAAACACCGTGTTGAAAGAGAGCCCTTTCCCTGATAAAAAAAACTTTAATTGCCATGGGCCACAGATGAAACTTGAGCTTTCCAATATTCAAGGCAGGCACGATCTTGTCCTTGTAAACAAATGAACTAAATTGGGGGCGGGGACGATCCTCATCTCAGAGTGCCTGCTCTCGGTTTTGCCACACACAAACGCTGGGGTTGGACGGGCTGGTGAGGCTGCTCTTCACTGAGACTGAACACCTGTCCGTACTCAGGGCCCAGGCAGGCTCACTCTGCAAGACTTCCGGCTTTCAAATGCGGCTCGTGGCTGCTTAGAGCCCAGCATAGTTCCTGCATGCATTAGTATTCATCCTTCCCCTTCGACAGGTTCGAGAGAGCCATCACATGTAAGGAGTCAAACAATTCTTGTTTGAGAAAGGCTGACTGAACAGTTCCCGTTCTGCCTGAGAGGAGACCACAGCGGAGACCCCGCCGGGCACCTCAGCTGCGCCTGTTCTGCTCTCTCTGGCCTCAGCCGTGTCCCATCCGCAGGGTCCCACCCTTCTCAAGGACAGGCCAGGGAACCGAGAAGGGCCGTGTGAGCGAACACACAATCTCAATTCCGAGGTCACTGTGGGTGGGCAGTGGGGCAGGTCAGGCAGGGGACCAGCCCTTCCTGTCAGCCCCATCTAGACACCGAGCTGGCCATGCTCTGCCTCTTTCAGTGTCATCCAAAGCCATCCTGAAGCCCAGGCTTCCACGTAACCCACGCCTGTGCTTTTAACCGAAGCTCTTCATGCACGCTGTGCCTTTCCCTGGGCTGAGTGCTCTTCGGTGAGACCCTTTATTAGTCTCCTTACTAGATTTTAGCCCTCATCAGAGCAGAGGAGCAAAACTTACCGAATAACTGAGTTAATAAACGAATACTACTTGGGTTATGAAATGAGGGGGTAGGAGGTATTATTGATACAGCCCTTTTAGCTGGCTGCTCTTTCTTTGGCTATTTGGGTACAGGGGTGGGAACCCATGGGGCTTCCATCTGGCTTGGAACTATAGAGAAAAGGTTTGAGGTTTTGTGTGCAGAATGAGGGATGTGTCTGGCTTGCTTGATACTTGGTTAAGTGAGGTGGTGAAGCAGAGGACTTACACCCTAATTAGCTCTACACAAAGGAGCCAGGAATAGTTGAAGAGCAGGGATCTGGGCCAACTTGCTCACCAGACATAAAGACCATCTCGAGACTGCAGCATATTGTGTTACATCTCTTATGGAGTAGAAGAGGGTGCAGAAATAGAAAGTTAAAACTCCATACCTTCTATTGATCTTATACATGAAATCTATTTGCAGCTAGAATCTGTGTTCTAAATACTTCTCACATAGGCAGAGGCCTCAGTAAGATTGTATTTTATGTTCCTTTAATAGAAAAACAAATTTTTCTGCACACTAGATTTCTAAGCATCTAGAAAGAGGACAAAAGCTGATGTGTGCATGTGTGTGCAGGACAGGCTTAGCAAATAAACTGACTTGCAAAGCATAAACAAAAGAAGAATTTTGAAACCACTTGAATCTCCTACAAGAATCCAATGACGAAAGTCATATTTCAACACGTGTAGCTCAGTTCTGAAAAGCCAGTGTCCCCGGCCATGTGTTAATTGATCAAGCATGGTTGAATGATTAACCCTCAGTTTGGAGGGGTAAAGTGAAAACCATCACAGAGTTCATTTATAACCAAGTAATTCTAGTTTCTACTGTTTGTGGTTGGTATGTTTCATTACCTAAGAATTAAGTGGCAGAATGTCTGAATGTATATAAAAAGGTATGTGTTTATTATAAAATAATACTCAAAAGCGATCCCTAAAATTGTCCTTTATGAATGTTTTGGGCATGAAAGCTTCCCTTGTTATTTTTATTACAGAAGAATTGGAAGGGTCTTTCTGTGTCAAAGCAGATCTCCTTCAATCCCTTTCTCCTTAAAAACTGTCTTTTTCCGTACATCAAAGTTAGTGTTTTACACTTACAATATCTGTTAGACTTGTTTTTCCTTCTATTTTTTCAAATTCCTTCCCAAAATTTAATTCCCATTTCTCTGCCTTTTTAAATCTTCCTTCCTAATTTTCCCTCTTCCTTTAGCTCAGTCTCTCTTCATTCTCTAAAGCTCTATTGCTGATCTTGCTTCTCTTGTATTGTCTGGGACTGATTTTTAAAGACACAGATATTTAAAATGGGCTTCTCTGCACTGTAGGTGATGGCAGGGAAACAAGTAAATAAAGCATAACCTTTGGCCCTTGTAGTCCTTGAGGTCCAGGAGGCCCAGGGGGACCCTGAGGGAAGAAAGGAAACAGTTAGAACCAGCACTATGTATTCACTTTCATGCCTTATAGGTAAGCATACTGCACACCTCCCTTATTCCCATCATAATCAGATATCTCCCACTGCTGTTTCATAAAGGGGGAACATTTCCCAGGCTATACAGATATGAAAATGACATACTTATATGTGAAAATAACAACACAATTTATGTCAAAATAATACTGAAGATGCTTTTGCGTTGGTTCTGAGAGACAGTCTGTAATCCCCGCCAGGCCCCCTGGACATCTCTCGGGAGGAGGCAGCCTCCCAATATTCCCTGTGTTTCTAGACACACACCTGAGCCCTCCACCCCAAGGTCTTTGATTTCCCACATCCCAAAGAATAAAGCTATATCACTACAAAAAAGTCAAAGACTTTTAAGGAAATAAATAACTTCTTTCTTGACTTTTTCATGAAACAGAGTGATTCAACTAGGGCAAATGTGGTAAAGGGTTATTAATATAAGGAAACATTTACTATCAGATAGAAATAACTGCACATTAGTACCATTACAGCCTGCATGCATCGTTAAATACAAAGTCACAAGCCACAGAAATCATGCAATAGGAGTTACCGTGACAGTTAAGGTGGTAATCCTCTGTAGGGAAAATGTAGGGACAAAGACAGAGTTACCTATTTTGTCTGCCAAAGTACAATCATACTTTTCTGAAAAAAATGGACTTTTTGAATACGTTTTGTTAAGTGTGATGTCTTACAAGGAACTGAAAAGATGCTGAGGACATTTTTTTCAATCTTCAATACAGTGAACTTGTTTTTAAAATTATCTCTAGAATTTTATTTTTTCCTTACCTGTATGGGTGAGGAAAATATCAAAATTTTAATTTACCTGGTTAAAAATCATGCAATAAAGCTGTATGCACTAGAGCTTTGTTTGCATAATTATGAACTGAGAAATCTGCTATTGATGACAGCTCTATTCTAGACAGCACTCTGATTAGAGAAAACTAAATATCTAATTGCATGTCTTTTTTTTTTCCTTTAGACCCACTCACTGCATTATAGCTAACCTTTCTTGTATCTGTGCTAAAACTAAACAAACTGACATTGAGTTAATCCAGTTTCTTAAAGTGCTAGGCTCCTTTAACCAAAATGTACTCTCGAAGTATGAATTTCTAAAGCATGATTCCCAATCCATGAATTCTATTTCTGTATTCATAATTTCTAGTTTAGATCTTGGATCAAAAGCTCTACAGGGTCTGCCAGTAACTTTATCAAACCATAGAGGAAAGAACATTCCCATTAAGGAGCTCGCTGGAGAGAAACACACAACCCCAGGTAACTTGCAGACTTCAGCCTACCACCGACAGACGCTCTGTATTCCACGACTTGGCCCCAATTCTGATTCAAACTGTCCTTGCTGTTTTTACTGTTGTTGTAAAATGTACTCCTAACATTTTCTATCAGACTTCAAACACTTCAGCCTCTAGTGACAGGATACTGTCATTCCTTAGAAAACAATGTTATATATGCGTGCCGACGGTTAGCTTGTCTTCCATAACAAAAGGAGACATGACCAATGTTTGTAGCTTCTGGGAAAACACAGTAGGGGAAAACATCAGTGCTGCTTAGACAAAGGTACAAACTGGGGCGAGTTTAAGTACACACATGTGTGTGTACGATGAAACAGGGCTCACAATGTCATATCTGTGAGACATACAGTCCCACTGCCTTTGTCCTCAAGGGGGTCTCCTAGAGCAGGACTCGGGTGTTCAAACTACTCGATGGATGCCTAATGTGAAAAGACCATTACTGTATAAAACACGCCGCCACAACTTCCTTTGCTTCAGAGACACTTATCCCATCACTTTGTCCCTTCTGAAATAGCTCTGGACGTTCTCTTCTGTGTCTTTACCAGGTGTGATCAAAAATTTGGTGAACGCCACTGCTATGTGCCATCCGATGCATCCAGTGGAAAGACAGGCTTGTGAGAATCCCACAGTGTGTCCTCACCCACCTTAGCCACCAGACATAGCACCATGTAACTCTGGCTCTTCCCCACAGTCAAAGTGACCAGGAAAGGTCAACGTTTTCTGTTAATTCAGGACATCGAGGCAGCCAGGACAGCGCAACTACAGACCCTCAGGAAAGAGGACTCCAGAGCTGCTGCATGAAGCAGCCAGGATGACAGGATAAGTGTGCTCAAAGTGAGGGGAGGATTTTGAAGCAGATGAATGGGAATGTGTTTTTTACTGTAACAAATTTTTAAAAAATTAAATATTCACTATATTTCTTGATCACACCTCGTAGATACGAAAAAGTTTTTCCCTTGTGACTAGATGAGTCATTTAAATAAGATTCTTAGAAAATTATAGCATAGAAATAGTTCCTTTATCACTGCCTGCCAATTACTCATTGCATTTTAACTAGAAAGCAGAAGCACAAAACCTTAGCAACTTTACAATTTGAACTCTCAGATTTTTGGTGAAAATGCCATACAAAAGTTTGTTTTTCCAACTAAAAAAACAGAAGCGTAATTTGTCTTTTAAAAAAATTTATGGCTAACAATGTGTTTTACAGTAAGCTGCATAACAGAGTAGTAGCATTAGTGGTCCCCGAACTTTGTTAAATTACTGTGTTTATGATACCTGAAATCACATAGGGCTCCCTCTGGCTCAGAAAGAACACGACATCTGAGTAAGCAAACTTCACAAACACTGCTTTCGTCACCTCACAGCACCAATGAGCAGATGCCCGGCTCACTTTGGGCTTCCAGTATGCGGCTCCTCTAGGTTAAAGCTACACAGGCCCAGCAGGGCTCATTCTTGGACTCCAGTAATGTTTAGAACACCAAAGATTCTGGCAGTGATGAAGAGAGACCCAGTGTCCTCTGGGACACAGGAAGTGAAGCAGGAGCCTCAGCCGGAGCCACCGTACCCTGGTGAAGCCCAGCAGAGCGCTTGGTGATTTATTTCCGGGGATGTGTTTATGAATCCCTTTAAAATTACAGTTATTTTCCTTCATTCTTTTGGTAAAGATGCAAGCTTAATAATCACTCATGATTTACATGAAAGAGCAGGGTTGATTCAGATGGTAGTGAGAATTAATAGCCTGAAAGGGGACCCAGAAAAGTTTTGTTGCTAATCGTTGAAATGCTTTCAGCAATATTTATATAAGCAATTTCATTTCTGTAGACTGATTTAGCTTCATAGTCTAACAGGATGAACAGGAAATAATAATTTGTAAAACAGTAACAGGGATAGAACATGTGGATATGGGACATGCGGACAGCTACAGGCCTGGGAAGATGGGAAACACCCTGACCGGAAGCTGGGGAGGTACCAGGGAGTGCAAAATAGGACCACAGTGGAGGGGGGCTCTTCTTCATTTTCCCCGGTATCAAAAAGAAAAGTAACCACATGGCTCAGGATTTGTACTTCATAATTCCCATTCCACTTAAAAATGACTTGGCAATAGTTTGGTATCTGGGTTTTGGTTTTTTTCAATTAGCTACAAATGAACCCATGAGAATTACAGATGCCAAATATCACAAGGATACAGTATACACAGTGCTTCATCTGTATAAGGTAATGTTTTATCATTTCAGGTGAGTATCAGGTCCACAGAAGTTATTTATATTATTCTTAACACTTTTTCATGGACTGAAATATTTTATAGAATCACAATTTTCAATAGAGACAGTGTAAAACTTTATATTTTAAATACACTATTATAACTGTAATATGCTATTTATCTAATTACCTTAGATTTGTTGGCAAGCCTTTTTAGAGGAGGTAATAATGAAGTGAAATCTACCAAACTGTAAATATTCATCACTGGTTAGAAAATGAGAATGGATGTTTTCCCTCTCTTTTCAATCTAATGGCTACCTAGCTGAACGGACTTTATCAGGACTTGTGTCTACTAGAGTAATCTGTTAGGAAAACCAGTAAATAGTTTTGAAGTGAAACAATAACTATAAGTTATTTACAGGCCTAACATATGGTTGCCCTCACAGCGCTATAAGGATAAAATATCCTTGGGTTGGGCATAGGCAGAAAATAGGTGAATATGGTGAATACTGACTAGAATATGTCATATAGAACTTGACATGAGAAAAAGAAATTGAACGCATGTATCCTTCAAAAAGTAGGCATCAGATTTTTTAAAAAAGCACGGTGCTTTTCAGCCTGCCAGTGAAAAAGTGTTCAGGAGCCCCTAAAAACGACCCTAATAAGAATATATTTCAGAGTCGTAGGAAAGTATCGATTCTGGGGCCATCTTCATTGCGCACATAAGCTCAGACAGTGGCTCCCCAAATGGCCCAGCCACGTTTGGTGGTAGAAGGACGACAGGAACACCGATTTCCATTTCAGGCTAAGGACAGGCCAAGCGCCAGACTCTGCCACAATTTTGCAGAAGATGGCCAAGAGGACTGGAGCATTTCTTGGAAGATAAGAAAGCAGACCCTTCTTAAAGGTGGAAGCAGGAATTATGGTGCCATTGAAGCAGTCTAAGAGAAATACACAGCACTGCTAATAAATCAAGTTTTAAACAGTGCCCCTGTACTTCAGTAATTTATTTTGCAAGTAAGAACTTTGAAAACACAGTAGGTACATGAAGTTTTGTGTTCTTTTGTCTCTTTCTCCCTATATGCAGTACTAACTTGTGGAAAAAGTGAACACTTTAGAAAACTGGGCCTGGAACGTGACAGGGACCCGGAGGCTACCGCTGTGTCTAAACTGCTCATGCCGAGGGACACCGCAAGCTCAAGCTGCTGGCCGAACGGCCGTCCAAACACCCCAGGCAGGAACCGTGCTTCTCTCTCTCTGCATTTTACCAGGAGGAAAGTGGGAAGCCCGAAAAATGGGCTGAACTGGAGACATTTTGTACAAACTGATGATAGGTACCTCAGTAGTAAAAAATAGCAATTGTAGCAAAGGATCCACAGAAGTGAAGACCCCCAACGTTAGGTCACATTAGTGCAATCATGAGGGTGGGAAAATAATTCCAACAAGCCCAGAACTGAGGGAAGTGTTCAAAATGTTCACTGGCTCAGCCCTGACCCCAAGGCATATACCTACATGCCCAGAAAATAGAAGCATGATACATGTTTTCAGTCACCAAGAAATTTACAATCTAGTAAGGCCTTAATGTTAAAATCAATTATGTGATTTGAGAACAATTAAATATTAACCTACTGGCCCTGACTACTAATGTTGGAAAGGATTGCACTGTATGGCAGCAGTTGACTTTAGGATAATATTTACATGACAAGAAAGGAAAAAAGAAGATTTGTACAGATATAAGAATGACTAAACCAGGGAAAACTGCTGTAGAGAAATAAAACAACCTGCACGAGAGCAGAATTACAGGGCCTTAAATGTCAGATGGAGGAATTGTGGCTTGATAGAGTAGGCCACAGGGCATCATTCATTAAAGTAATGGCAGTTTATGAAAATCAGCCGTAGAGTAACCCATAGGTTGGACTAGACTGGCAGGAGGGCAAGAGGGGAAGAGGAGCTGGCCTAGAGGTTGTGGTCTTGTTAGGAATGAAGAAAACAGGATGTGGCCCTCATTAGGAATGGAGAGAGGGTGGCGTCAAGAAACATTTTGAGAAAAATAGCCCCTGGTGAGTGAGATGGAATGGACAGGACACTGGGAATAGTTTTAAAGTGGTGCTAAAGTTTTTACCCCGAGAAACACCCAGACTCATGACATCACTAATAGCGACTGGTTAATTAAGGAAAGGAATCACTTGGTAGGTGGGAGAGGTAACGGGCATATTCATGAGCACTGGTGGAAGCCGACAGGCAATGGCACATCTGTGGTGGAATTACCGTTAGTCAGCCGGAGGCCCCACGCAGATTCCATCTGGGGACGGAGGGCTGAGAACCAGGTGTGGAAGCACGAGAGGGTGATTGCACGAAGAACATGCCAGAGGCTTCCGGATACCAAGTTTGGCGATGGACAGAGAAGCTGGGAATAACAAACTACAACGGTCCATCAGAGATGAAGAAGGGAAGGCATGAAGCAGATGCTCAGAGACCAGAAAGGGAAGAGTTTCAGAAGGAACTGTGGCTTGGTGTAAATGTCACACAAAAGTCAAGAAAGAAGAATGCACTGGGTTTTACCTACAGGCGGTCACTGACACTGTAAGGTAGACATCCAGATCTCAGCTGTATTGACTTACAACCCACTTGAGTTACAGCCAGCCCTTGGGAACCGATCGAGTTTGTAAGTCCGCTGTAGTTGGGACAGGAGAGCTCATGCTAGGGAGAATAAGGAAAGCAGGGGCACAGGCAAGCCTGCCTGTGATGACGAAGTCTAGGAACAGCTGAGCTGTAGGTTTAGGACTTTCGCACTCAGTGCTGAAGTGGTCAGCACCCGGCTGGACCAGGCTGGAGGTCACTTAAGTCAGTGTCACTGTAAGAAACTGCAAAGGAATGCTGAGAGGGACTAGAATGCAGGAAAGGACAGGCAGGAGGCAGCAGCGGTGCAGACCCGTCAGGGCCTATTCTGTACTCAGTGGAAGGAAAAGACTGCGCTGTAGCAGTCATGAGAAATACTCAGGGGACAGCGTGTGCTGAGCTCGACTCTAGGCGAATGGCATCGATTTGGCCTCTGGGCCGATACTCCTGGTCTTCATTTCACAGACGGGGGAGCCAGGGCACACAGGTGAAGCACCCTCGGCCACATACTGAGTAAGCAAAAGAACTGAGGTTTGAAGCCAAGACGCCCCCACGCCAGAATGGGGACCCTAACTGCTGTACAGAGCCTCTCTCCGGGGCAGGAGGCAGGAGGGGCCTGACTGACACAGTTTTGCGTATGAGTTTAGGATTATCTGAGGGTAGCATGGAAAGAAAAGGCGAGATTAAAACAGGGCACGGTGGCACACGCCTGTACTTCCAGCTTCTTGGAAGCAGAGGCTGGAGGGTCACCACTGGTCATTCCCGTCTCAAAACGGGGTGGGGGTACAGCTCAGTTGTACAGAGTTTGTGTGAAGCCCTGGGTTCAAGCCTCACTATTGGCAAAAAACAAAAAGGCCCAAACCCTATGAAGTAAAGATGATGGAGGCAGAAAGGAGTGGGCTCTGAGCTGTGAGGCGGAGGGGACAGGCGCTCGCCCTGACACCACCTGGCCCGGGGGTGCCCTTCCCAGCCTGCCTCGGGCGGGGCGGCCGCCTACCTGTAAGGCTTCCTGGAGGTTGCCATTGTAGTCTATGATCTCCGTGGCTCCTGGATCCCCTTTTTGCCCTGGGGGACCCTGCAATAAAAGCAAAACAGGGAAACTCAGGGGACGCGAGCCTGTGGCGGAAACAGAAGCAGCAGCGTCCAGCACTGACATTCACTTCCTTCAGAAGCCCCGACAGATAATCATGTTCAAGTTTTGTCCATTTTTCCAAGAAGGCAAATTGCTTCTGACTTCCTGCCTATGGCAGGTTAAACATAGGAAATCTGATTTTTTAAAAGCACATGAGGTTTACTCTGAAACCATTTTTTGAAAATTATAAAATACAGACTTATTTGATATGTGTTACAAAATTCTATTGGGTTTACTTGTGGTTATTAAAGCAATGGCAAATGTCTTTCTACTCAGATCTCACAGGTTGCTTCCTCATTCTTTAAGAAGATAGAACAAGTTTCCATAGGGAATGGGTGGCTTTCCCAGTGGGAACAGAATCCCATAAAATGAAAGCAAATAGGAAACAAAAAAAGAGAATACATGATATATTTTATAGACTTCTGTAGACAATGTAAGTACACTCTAGACTTCTACTCTATTCATCATATTTGCGATATAACTTCCATTAGTCATGTCCTAATTCCCTGCCTTGTTTTTACAGGCTCTGAACATATGGGCTATTGCTCTCTTCACGCTGTAACTGTTTTAAGTGAAAAATGGGAAATCCTATTAGGTGAATGGTTGTGGTTTTGCTATTGCTCATTTAGCAGAGGGAGAGTGGAGGTGGAGATGTTTTTCATACTTCTCGATAAAGTTTATTTTATGTGTTAGAATCCACACATGCACTACCCCTAAAAAAGAGACTGCAAAAGAGAAAAGGGGCTGGTGGACGAATAATTACAGCTACCACACTCCAGTGCCTTCTTAGTCTGCAGGTGTCTCTCAGAAGTTGCACAGATGCTACTTCAAATCTGGGTTTGTAGGGGGTGAAAGTTTAGACGAAAGGTACGCTCACCCTCAGTCCCAGAGCTCCAGAGTCCCCTTTGTCTCCACGATCACCCTTTCCCAACGGAAAAACAAAACAAAAAAAGGAAAATATTTCAATTAGTAGCTGGCCCAACGGTCTAGAAATCTCTCAAGCCTAAGGACACATTTATAACATTTACTATGAATTTCGGAAGCGGAAAACAATACCAACTACCCCCACGATTGCACAGGCTCCTGTGAGATACAGTCTGCAGGGAATGCAGTTTAGTTCACTTTTCAGGAAAGAAGGCATCTGGGGACGAGAGTGCTGTCTACTTGTCTCTCTCACTGTGTGGGCTTTGCTAAAGCAAAGCCAGCAGCTTCCAGGGCACCCAAAGTAAATTTTCACCTTTCAGACTGAACCATGGTTTTTTATTGGAAGAGATTTGGGACAAAGGGAAAAAGGGACAAGCAACTGTGTCTTCAGGGAAGAAAAGTCTAGATACAGTGGACCCTGAAGTTATGACCAGCCTGACATACGAAAAACTTGGGTTAACTAGGTTAATGGAAGACTCATCTGCTTCTTGTTATCTATAGCATGTACCCAGATGAACATCCAGATCTCAGCTGTACTGACTTATAACCCACTTGAGTTAGATCCAGCCCTTGGGAACTGATCGAGTTTGTAAGTCCACTGTAGTTGGGACAGGAGAGCTCATGCTAGGGAGAATAAGGAAAGCAGGGGCACAGGCGAGCCTGCCTGTGATGACAAAGTCTAGGAACAGCTGAGCTGTAGGTTTAGGACTTTCGCACTCAGTGCTGAAGTGGACAGCACCTGGCTGGCCCAGACTCCGGGTTAGGGCTAGAGGTCAGGGGTGGGGCAGCTTGCATTCTTTTTTTCAAGGCACTGTGAAAAATCTCAGAAGTTTTATTTATGATGTCATTAACCCACCTGTGGAGATACTAGGAATAACCTTTACAGATACCAGGAATAATCAAAGCTGTCAAAATTCTCGGAAGTGTAACTGGGTAGTTTGGAGAAAAGATTTGAACTTGGGTGGAGTTGGTTGTTCTTTAAAATAGCTTAAATTTACATAGACCTTTTCATAAATGGAATTCAAAGCATTTTTCTGACTTTCTATGTACTTCTATAAAATGGGTAAAGATCAACAATGATAAACAGGAAACAGGATTATAATTTTCCCAACCACATTACACTAATAGCAATGACCATAATAATTAAATTTGCTGTGAATGGAGAATAATCTTTGACCTCCATTTTCTTCATTTTGTACCCATTTTTATGTTATTAGCTGGTGGCATTAAACACAATTATCCCAACAGTACGCAAATTCTTGCGGATGGGATAAAGAACATGATAAAAGGGACAAATTTCAGTCGGTGAAATTTTAATGCAATAAAGCAAGTTGACTTAGAAAGTATAATTTGAATGTTTATCACAAAGATAGGCAGGAAATGAAAAGTAAGATTATATAATATGTAATTTATTTAAATTATTTTTTCCCCAAAGCTGTTTTTATGAAACAGGAAATACAGCCTCTCCCAAAGAAAAGTCTGAAATATAAGAGCAGGCAGAAACCTACAAGAGAAAACAAACTAATTGTTCTGTGATATTATCGTAGGGGAAATATTACTTCAGCCCATGCGGAGAGGCTATTCTAAAACAAGATTCTCTTTGGAAAAGGCAAAAATCACAGATGTCCAGGGCTCGCACCACAGCTAGACGTTACCAAGTTACTGACCTTTGACCCCTTTGGGCCTCTTGTTCCTGATTCGCCTTGTTTCCCCTATTCCCGGAAAGCAGGAAGATGAAAGAGAAGATGTCAGAGGAGGTAAGAAACAGACATCAGCAGCGACGCAGAAGATGAGGAAGCGTGGAAACACTGTATTTTAGCAGCCTCAGTATACGGCTGGCTGTGATGCTGGGTGAGGGCAAGGATCGTCGCCCTGATGTACCTTATCGTCAGTCGGTCAGTCCATCTGTCCGTCAGTGCGTCCATCTCCCACCATTGGGGTGGGAGCGATCTGTGAGGGTTCAGCAGTCTCAGCAGTCCCTGTCCATGTAAACTGCACTTTCATCACAGAGTAAATCGTTTCCCATGTTGCATGGATGGGTTATTAGAATAAAGTGTGACCAGGTTAGTTAGCAGGAAGTTTAGATGAATAAAGATGGAACAAATCCTACACCGTCAAGTTACCATAGAAACGGATATAGCATTCAACAGATTTTCCGTAGCGGGGTTTAATTCACGGCTAATGATAAGGGATTAGTGACAGTGCCTCTCCCTTCATGTTTGGATTTATTAAATTTGTTCACCAGAGCAGAGGGAACAGGGAAAGCTGAATTATAAACCCCCTTCCCCTTTTGAGACAGTCTTTCTGTCTCAGGCTGGCCTTGAACTTGCAGTGATCCTCCTGCCTCTGCCTCCTGAGTGCTGGGATTATACAATGTGCACCACCCCAGCTGTGAGCCCCCTTTGAAATGGACCAAGTTGTGCGCATGCAGTAAGTGACTGATGACCTGGACCGTTGAGGAGTTAGCTTCATGTCCCGAGGTAAAGCAAGTGGCACGCGCTCCCAAACCAGAGGATGCGCTCTTCCACACGAGGATACTGACCTTCGGCCCAGGGACTCCGGGCTCGCCTCGCTCCCCTCTTCCTGGTGGCCCTGCCTCCCCACGCTCGCCCTGTCACGGAGTACAGAACAGGTTAGTGGTGACCCACCCAGGCTGGACCCTGTGGATGAACTAATGAGTTGCGAAAAACCAAAGCAAATAGTCATCATCTGTTTACCCAGCCCCGCGTTCTCCCTTAACGTGAATGATCTTGGGCATACTCAGAGCAATCCGAGGACGGGTTAGGGGGAGCTGGGAAGGCTCTTCTCTGGGTATGTCTCATGGTGTCTCCACACTGGACTGGCGCAGGTCTGTGGGCTGAGTGGGGAACATGTACCCTCGGTGGGGCGGCTGCCACCCTTGGACAGAGCAAAAGGGCAGAGCACTGGCAGATCTGCCCTGGCTTTTGGCATCAAAACTCCGGATTCTTTAGCCTTCAGACTCTAGCCCTTGTACGAGTGAGCCCTGAATCCTCTGGCTTTGACCTTGTTCTGCGTTCACCATTGACTTCCCTGGTTCTGGAGATTTGGACTTCAACTGAGCAATACCACTGCTCTCTTTCCAGCCTGAAGATGGCCCGTCACTGGGCTCCCCGCCTCCATCATCAACGAGCCAGTTCTGAAACATTTCCTCCCTCCCAGCCAATCCCTCCATCCCTCTGTCCTCTTGATTCTGTCTGGAGAACTCTAATACACAACTGGACGAGGTTTGCAGGATCATCCCTATTCTATAAATGAGGAAATGGCTTGGTAACACCATAGCATAGCTGTACTGGTAACAGAAGGACCTCTAAAGGGAATGGATGAGGAGCCTTGTGCTACCTCGAGACAGCAACAGACGTCTTTCTCTTCTCTGCAGCCACTTTGTAAGTATTACAGCAAGAAGCCTGGCAAAGTGGTTAACTCCAGGCTTTGTCATGACACCTTATGTTTTATTCTCGGCTAGTAATGTACCAGTTCTGCATTTTGAGGCAAGGTGGTTCAGCTCTGTAAGCCTCAGTTTACTCAGTGGGACAGAGAAGTACTAATCTCCTAACTTATGCACACAGTGTTCAGAGTGGTATAATACATACACGTACCAAGCTGTTAACATTATTAAGTCACAGCTCTGTGAAGCTGAAACATGGTCACCGTCTTCAAGGAGCCAGCTGCCCATGTGGACAACAGCCACACAGACAGGAGGGTCAGGGTCAGGCAGTAACACGGAGCCTTAGGGACGGAGGAGGAAACCCCAGGGTCTGCATGTCGGTGTCGGCTCCTGAGGCCCAGTAGAGCTGAGCCCTGCAGGAATGGAAGGGCTGCCTCTCACCCTCGCTGACAGCAGGAATGGTACAGGACACTGGGCGGGGCACAGTCCTGTTTTATTCTCAGGACAAAAATGTGTCATGATCCGTGCTCCACAGACGAAGCCGAATGCAGAGCGGTGAAGCAGCTGGGCCTAGGCACAAAGCTGTTCAAATGGGAGGGCTGCAATTTAGGAATAAGCAGTACATGTTTTCACATCGAAGTCTTTTGTGCATCTCTGATCATTTTCTTAGGATAAATTCCTAGTTGGATCCAGTGGTGTGAACATTTTAAGATCTCGCCACATAACTCCGCAAGGAGATGGTAGCGTTTTACTCTGTAAGGCAGAGTGGAGAGCACTGGGCTTCCCACCTGATGGGTGGAATGGGGAGATCAGATGGACGAGGGGCCACCGGGCAAGGGCGAGGGGGCGGGAGAGGGCTGCTGTCCTCACAGACTCATCGTGGGAAGGACAGGCAGAGGGTGGACCTCGTGGGCCTCGGGCCCGAGCGCCAGGTCCTCCCCTGCATCCTCGGCTAGGGAAGCCCCGGGCTTCACTGTGGCCGTGTGGGTGTGGGGCGGTCACAGCACTGATGGAGGGAGGTCAGGGGAGACCCGGGAGGGCGCTCTGCAGCGCCCAAAAGGGGCTGGACAGGGGGTGGGAAAGACGGGCCGCACCGGGAGCTTCTGCCTGCTCCTCCTCATCCCTCCTTGGCCCTAGAGACACTGAAGGACCTTCTCTCGGCATGGGCGACTTTTGATTTAAAAATGTACAGTATTTGGTGTTTCTGCTACTATTTTCCTTTCAGAATTACAGAAAAATTCCTAAACCAATCACCACAAAACCTTAAAAAAATCCCACATCTGCAGTTTATCACAGGAATGGAGACGGCAGATCTTCGCATAGAATCACTTTTTACCACCATGGCCCGAGTTCGCTCCCTGTCGCAGTCTGGTATTCTATCATTTATTTATTTCTCTCTCTCCTTCCACCACTCTGTCCCCATACCAGAAGGGGGCCTGCTTTTGTGGCCTTTACTTCCCATTCTCAAATACAGAAAAATACTTGGCAAAGCATTCGTGTGTGTAATTAATAAACAAACAGTATTGCTCAAAATATCCTAAAATTCTCCAACTAAAACACACTTTCTTTGGATACGGGTCCCTGTCAGGCACGGATGTCGGTGGTCATGACAGAGCAGTACATCAATAGATCTTCCATGTTGTGACACATCTTTCTTCATTACGACCTCTCTTCCCTATGTTGGCAGTAAAAAGTAGTCTTAGTTTATTTTTTAAAATCTTTTTTTTTTGGGTACCGGGGCTCAAACTCGGGTCCTTGTGCTTGCACAGCAGGTGGCAAAACCACTGAGCTAAATCCCCAGCCCTGTCTGCATCTTTCTTTTTGAAACTGTAGAGCAGTTTCGTTAACTGCACAGAGGTTGCCTAGGAATGAACTCCACTCGCCACAGCCTGGTTGTCTTCTGCTCTCCCTTGTATTACAGACAAAATGCCGCCGGGGCCTGCGGGTGGCTTTTGCTGCTGAGGATGCTGAGCTCTTCCATGGGGCTGAAGCCACGGGAAATGCAATAGCTCTCCTATCAACAGGGAATGTTCGTTATTCCACTTCTTTCTCTTTTTATTCCAGAAAGGTATTTCTTGTGTGAATCTCTTCAGGCTAAAATAGGTATCGTTCATATTTTGTTAATAAGCCTGACAGTTCACTATGTGCAAAAAGAAATGTCTTAAGAAAACAACAATTGTGCATAATCCCACTCTGTTGCAGTCCCCCTTGGGCCATGCATAGTTTCCATGTACTAATATTCGAATTATTTTCCTTTGACCATTGGAATCAGGACCGTCTCATCAAAACAGACTTTGAACACATTTATTCAACTCTTGGAAATCCTCCCTGGCTTATTTCTGGTGAGTGTGGCACACACTGAGGCAGAGACTGCTGTGGTATAAAAATAAAGGAATGTAGTTTGATGTCATCTCACCCCTTCTTTGATTCATGAGTCTGTCATGAGATGGTTCCACCGTCTGAGCTGCACCTTTTTGTCTTGCTGGGCAGAGAAAGAAGGAACTCTGGGCTGACATCTTTTTTCACATGGCAGCACGTGGCAGGTGCTTCCAGGGCCCTCTCCGGGACTGCCAAGTGAAGACCCTGAGATGGTTTTCATTACAGAGCATTTCTGTGGACGTCACTCAGGGTGGGTCCTTCTGGAGCAAAGCCCTTGGGAGTCTATATGGCATCTGCACTTGCCTCTGAAGTTGGAGAAGTGGTGGGAGCAGTGATAATGTCTGATTTCTAAGTCTTGCCTGAAGTGGGTGAAAGGTGGGGGAGTTTATGAGTCCCATCTTTCCTCCCAGTTCCCCTGCTTCCATCTGGCCGCAGAACAGTTCAGGGAATCTGGAGGACAACTAGGGGAGCCGACACCCCACCAACCTGCCATCTGGCCCAAGGCTTCCTGGAATTAACTTCCCTTCCACCCACCTGTTTAGCAGGACATTCCTTTTGGAGCAGCTGTTAATGGGCAGACCATTTCTCTACAAGGCAGAATACTGGCTCACCTAAACAACAGCGTTACCTCACATTTCAACACATAGCACAAACATTCTAGAAAGGAAGGAAAGAAGGAAAAGAGATTGTACTCACTTTTGTTCCCGGTAACCCTGGTAAGCCTGGTTCCCCTTGAGGACCAATGAAACCTGGTTCTCCCTTTAAAAAGATGGGCAAACGAGGTCATTATTCAGTGGACACAAAGTCAAGAAAGCCAAACTCACCTCCTCCTACTGGATTTTATTTTCTCGATTATATACAGCCTTTCCTCCTGAGATCAAGCTGCTGACTATAAGAATTTGTTTTGATCCAGTGAAAACACTGAGCAACACAGAAGTCTGTGACAGAGTAATCAGACAAATCTCTCTATAGCTTCTCCTCTCTGCTGTTGTCCAGTGTTTTTTACCATTTACCAAATTCAACCCATTGCTTGGTGGGGAGGTGGCCTGTGGTGTGCCCTCCTGACTGTGGACAGGATTGACTGCCCACATGTAATGAGCAGATATGGCAGGAGCCATGGGCTCTGACCTCTGAGTCCAAGTTGCACGAAGACCGGAGGCTTCCATCTTTCCCAGGTGGACCACCTGCTTTGGGGACCCAGCTGCCAGGTCAGGAGCAGCCTTACGGTGTGGCCCACGTTGCAGGGACACCTAGGAGCACGGCACTGGAGGCCTGACCATTCTCATCGTCTTCTGGTGTGAACACAGCCCTGGCTGACGCTTCACGCCACCCACCTTACAAGGGACTCGGGCCCAGGCGCCTGGCTGTGCTCTGCCTACACTGCCATTCATTCCTCAGAAACAGTGAGACAGCTACTGTTAGTGGTTTTTAGCCACTAAGTTTGGGGGTAACATGGTAGGCAGCAATAGGCAACTGGTTTAATGGATGTGACCACGGAAGAGAGTCCAGAATGTTCAGCATGAAAAGAAGTAATCTGTCCTTGTCAGACAGCAAAACCTCATCTCTACCACCTGGAGCAAACCCACTGGCGGCATTATAATGCAAACTGAACCTGGTCTCGAGCCCCAATTCCTGGCCCAGTCCTCCCATAGCCCCTGTACTGCACTGAGTGATGGGGCTGCTAAGAAGTGGGCTTTGTTACTCAGAACCTGCCCCTTCCACCTATACCTGAGTCTGTGCAGATGAGGTGATTCCTGGCAGGGCCTGGGTAGTTTCAGGATGGGAACTGGGGCAGAGGGACAACCCTGTGATGGGGGGTTGGCACTTGCTGCTCCACCTTCCCATGTCCCGCAGGGGAGGTCCCCTAAACAACAGTGACAGGGAGCACCAACGTGGGAGAAGCACTTATGTTCCAGGAGGGTAGACTCTGAGTCCATGGGCCCTGGGCCTGGGGCTGGGCCCTCCTCCAGACCTTGCCCTATGTTCTTCTGCATCTGGCTCTTTATTTTTACCCTTCATAATGAGTGCAATGGTAAATACAGCATTGCAGTGAAGCCACACAAAAGCGTAGGTAACCTGGGAATCTGGTATCTGTGAGTCAGTCTTGTGGCTGAGCCCTAAATGTATGGCACCTACTGCTCACTGGAATAATCTCAGAACAGGACTGAGCTGTAGGGTACCGAGCCAGAGCCAGAGCCAGAGAGTTCAAGAGTTGGTTTTGGAAAAGACATCACATATTTAGGGTCAAAAAATACTCATGCAAGTGTTCGCATTATCTTAAATGTCCACAAAGTTTTATTTTCCTTTCAACTATTTAAGCTCAAATGTAATGGTCTAATTTTTAAAAAAATATAACAATGTAAAGCAGAACCCATAGTGGCTCTGTGTCTGTATTTCTTGTTTTCTTGCTTAGATTGTTTCTGAAGCTGTTGTCAATGTTGCTTGGTACATTTGATTTTTAAGGCAGCAGTATTTCAGCCTTTCTCTTACGGTACTTGGAGGTGAGCAGGAAGATACAGAGAAGAAGTTATAAGACATGTTAAAGTGGGCTGGGGGTTTAGCTCAGTGGTTTCCCTGCCTGCTGTGCAAGCGCAAGGACCCAAGTTCGAGCCCTGTACCAAAAAAAAAAAAAAAAAAGACATGGTAAAGTGCCATTAATCGTTTTTCAGACAAACAGACTTTTAAAATATGCTATATACAACACTGGGTAATGAGTGGGGAATAAAGGACGTCATGTTGATAAACAGCTCAAATAATTTATCTCTGGCTTGGCTGCTCATGGCCTGATGTAAGGGAAAAAGCGGGATGGGAACTAATGCTTTAGGTTTATTGGTGGAAACTTTCTACAACTGCCTGTTCTACTGTCTCATAGCCTTCCACCTAGTGGAAAGAGGAATCTGCAGACAGTTTTGGGGGGATCTCTTAATAAAAATCTCAGCTCTATTCAGAGAAAGCAATGAGCACTCTGTTTTTATTTTAAAAAAGGTTATTTCAAAAGCAAAATATATAAGAAACACATTTATTTATAAATAAAATGTTTCTTCTAAGAAAATGATGTATACAAATAAATAGCCCCTCTCTACTCTCAAGAGAACTACTGTGTTACATCAACATTAAAGTTATTAATAATGACTGTCAGGAAGATTACTGCAAGTTAGTAGTTTGAAAGTTTACAGGTAAATAACTCTTACATATCTTCAAGTAAAAACGAAACTATTTAGCAAGGTAAGTAGAAGTACTGTTAAAGCATACTAGTGAAAGAAAAGAATAAGTGATGCAGGAACATATTTCTTATTTAGGTTTGTGCTTAGTTTACATAAAGGTGCATAATTCACAAGTAAATAAAGCTTTATCATCCCACTGGCCAGACAAAAGCCTTTTCTTTCTTTTATTTATAATAGAAAATAAGTTAAATTCCCATCAGTCAGAGTACAGAACATTTGACAATGGAAAATAGAATGCATTTGACAGTCTCAACAATTTTAGCACTATTAATATTGGCTAATTTTAAAGGCTTTGAGTGTGATTAGTTTTATCTGCCATTCCAAGAAAGCATCTACCATACTTATATCTTCTATTTATATCTATTTATAGCTTCTGTTTGATTTCCGTTTACTGAGGAGGAAGAGTCACCTACTTCACCTTGGGGTCACAGCTTTACCCTGATCTGCATTGAGGGCTCTCATCTTGTTAAATCACCTTCTCCTTCCTCTCTGTCTTGGCAGGAAGGGGAGGAGATGATTATTTGTCTCTTCTTTCTCAGGCTCCAGAATCAAGTGGGGTAATCAGGGCATCAATATAGCACCCACAATCTTAAGCTGCTCGGGCTGTTTCTCACCTCCCTATGTTTATACCCGAGGTTCTGAAAGTATGCTCCACGCAGGGTCCCTGAGCCCTTCAGCTCCAATTATTTCCTAATTCTGAGGCTCAGTGTTTGCAGATGGCTGGCTCAAGAGTGCAGAATGGAGGTAAAGCCTGCCAGCAAGCCAGAGTCCTGAGGTCCCACTCGGTGGGGGATTCTGGGTTTGCCCAGGGGAGCTTAGTTAAGACTTGTAAGACACAAGCAAAGCACTTAGCACTCACCCTAGAATACAGTAAGCGCACAGTAAATACTTATTTTCCTTTATCTAACAGGCTCAAATATGTTAGCTATCATACTTTATTGTTAGTATTACAACATCAGCATCCTACTCGGTAATATACAAGGTAACTTGTCATCTTGAAAAACAGACCCTAAAGCTTTCCCATTTGAATGCGTCATTCATTTTACAAGACAATACCCATCTACCAGGGCATTTAAGACTGCAAAACTGAAAGACATTTAAGACACATTAGAACTGCTTGAGAAAAGTAAGAGCTTCGCTAAAAGTAAGCTTTCTTCCTTTACGGAAGGGGAAGGGTACGATGACCACGCCTATTGAATACCCATCCATAAGTGTAATCCTTAAAAAAACCCTTGCCCCTAACAAGGACTGATGTACAGTTTAAAGGTTCCAGAATGCCCTAAAATATCTAGGGAAATGCAGTAACAACCTAAAATTACTTGCTTATGGTATGAAAAATAAGAAGTGGTAATTCTACTATACAAAGGTGGTTAAAAATACAGTGAACTTTAAATTAAAGTATGTATTGCAGTAAAAGACACACTGACATCGACCCCCCTCAAAATACTCCCTCCACCCCCCGCTTCAGATATATTTATCCCATTGTTCTTGCCACTTTCTGAAGCAGTTTCGGAAGTCCTCTCTCCTGAGTGTCTTTGTGAGATGTGATCAAAACTATGGTGAATGCTGCCGCCGAGGGCTGTCCAACGAAAAGGGAGCTCAGAAAAGCATTACGGTGTGTCCTCATTCACCTCATCCACCGGCCCAAGCCCTGTGTGAATTCTGGCTCTTCCCAAGTCAAAACGACCACGGAAGGGAACCATTTGAATCCATTCAGGACACTGAGGGAGAGAGGACAGCACAATTAAAGACACTCAGGAAAGAGGACTCCAGAGCTGCTGCAGAAAGTGGCAAGAACCATGGGCTAGGTGTGTTTGAAGTGAGGAGGAGAATTTTGAGGGGGATCAACAGCAATGTGTCTTTTACTGTAAGAAATGTTTAAAAATATCTAAGAATTCATGGTATTTCTGATCATACTTCATAGTTACAATTGCTATTATCCAGTGTAGAGGAAAGAGATGGTCAGGGAGAGGTGGGAGGTGAGTGACTGAAGTGATTCTAGAAATCATCTTTAGAGTAGATGAGATACACAGGAATGAGATTACGTAAGTTTTCAGGGCAACAAACAAGAAATAACTATGTTGGCCTATATAATAATTCTCCAGCCATTTTACATATGTAATCTCATTTAATCAATGTGAAATAGAAGAAAGGTAAAGTGAAAATTATTCACTCATATTTATCAGAGTACAGAAGGTAGAGCTACCATAGAGATCTGAACTATACTGGAATCTTTTAATAAAGGAAAAAATAAATCGAGGGGTTTTCCCTCTCTTTTCTTATTTACTAGGTAATTACTTGAATTAGAAAATCCAAAGCACAACTTTAGTGAGGCATTTTAGGAATAACCTAGGAATATGAAGCAGAGATCCTTTGAAAAGGGAATCGCTAGCCCCTTTCATCAGGGAAATATGGATTCCAACAGCAAATAATGAGAAACACAGCCCCACCACTGAAGTGATAAGAACAGAACATGACCCTGTCTAATATTAAGTTAATGATCACTTAGTGCTTTGTTAAAATTGTAGAAATTCT